ATATAAAATATAAATATGTAGAAATTTTATATAAATGTATAATTTGTAGCATTTAGCAAGCAGGTTGCCTCAGAGCAAGGGGATTTATCATTTATAAATAATTCTATACATATATGCAAGTTGTAAATATATTTTTGTAAATAATCTCATATATATCATTACAGATAAATGATGAAACAAAGCAGTATATTCTGGATCTGTTTTCACGTTACATTGAAGATGGCATTAAGTTTGTCACTAGGAAATGCACACAAGCTATTCCACAAGTGGATATTAGTAAAGTAACCACGTTGTGCTGCCTGCTTGAATCTCTCCTGCTTGGAAAAGGAGGACCAGACTTAACGATGGTAAACTACTATGTTGCACCTTTAAATACAGAGCCAAAATGCTGCTTAATATTGTATTCGTTTATGATTTGAATACATATTGTAGCTAACGAAAAGTGATTTGTACCTTTGTAAATAATGTTTATTACCAATCGTGTGTTGTTATAACACTATCTGCAAGGAGTTTGCATGTTCTCCCTGTGCTTGTGTGGGTTTCCTCCGGGTACTCCAGTTTCATCCCACACTCCAAAGACATGCTGGAAGGTTAATTGGCTACTGTCTAAATTGGCCCTGTGTGTGAGATAGGGACCTTAGATTGCAAGCTCCTTGAGGCAGGGGCTGATGTGAATATGCAGTATGTAAAGCGCTGTGTAAATTGTCGGCACAGCATAAATACCAGTAATAAATAAATAAATACCGTATTTTTCGCTCCATAAGACGCACTTTTTTCCCCCCAAAAGGAGGGGGAAAATGTGCCTGCGTCTTATGGAGCGAATCCCGACGCCCGAGACATGCAGTTTCGGGCGCCGGGCGAGTAGTAGGAGCCACTGCTCGGCTTTAATACGAGTGATCTAATGAGATCACTCGTATTAAAGCTGAGCAGCGGCGGCAGCGATCAAGTTCAGCAGCAGGAGCTACTGCTCGTTCAATACGAGTGATCTAATGAGATCACTCGTATTAAAACCGAGCAGCGGCAACGATCGAGATCACCATAGAGCAGACGAATAACGGACTTTCTTCGCCTGCTCTGTGTGATCACTGAGACCGTGGCGCTGTAATCACAGCGCCACCTGTCTCAGCGGTCACTAACTGCAGCTTCTGTCACAGCTTCTGTCATAGAAGCTGTGTCAGAAGCTACAGTCTGTCGAGTGCTCCATAAGGCGCGCCGGACCTCCCTGCGTCCTATGGTCCGGTGCGTCTTATGGACCGCAAAATACGGTATCTATTTGCCCTATAAGTATCAATAAAATACTGTAGTTTATTGCCGTTTGATACCCCAATGCAACACCATCTTCAGAATGCTTTTCTAACATTATTCAGTATGCAGCAATCCATAAACACAGCTGACTTATACATACTACACAAGCCTAAGCACATTTAAGAACCATTAAGACCTCTCCAGTGCAGTGTGTTGCAGGAAGAGACAATCATTGTCAGTGGCAGCCCAACACATTTGCATGTCTGTTTTATGGTCCCATCTGTTGCATCGGCAGCCCACTTATTTAAATGACGTAGCGCAACACACGTTAGTGCTCGAACAAACGCACATTAATGCAATATATTGGATTCGATAGGTCTGAATGAGCCCTAAGGGAACAAGGGAGGTAATGAGTACTGTCTACAAGGTGGATTGTACTGCTTGGTAGCCTTCCAGCAGTAAGTTTATTATTTTTAAAATAGGAATGGGGGGGATGACGACGAATAGACACTCCTTCAAATGTATATATATGTATTTATCTGTATAAACATAAAACCCATTCTGGATGTGCAATGTTGTGCAATCATTTAGAATAAAAAAAAAATCCCACTAGTGATCATTCTTACAATCCAGAGGGGAGATTTGTTCTATTCAATACTGACCACTTATCTATATGTATAGATATACTAAAACCTTTTTTTATATCTATATATAAACTTGGCCTAAAGTGGTCAGTAATGAATAGAAGATATTATTTTTTATATCTCTTTTTTCACTATCTATACGCAGTTTTTCTTTTACAAAGAAACCATTAATTATGTAACACAGAGTTCACAGTGCACCACGGACTAGCTAAAGAGACAGCACAACAAAGCAGCTTGCTTTGCAGCTTTTTTTTTACCTGTGAAAAGGAGACGGCTGGACAGAAGTCTACATAATAATAATATTCAAAGGGTTATTCACAAAAGGGTGAAGAGTTTGGAGAAGTCAGGAGAAGTGAACAATCTAGGACAAAATAGCTGATATGGAAAAATTATCCAATTCAGCTCACTTTCTGGTTCAGCTATGTTGTCCTAGATTGTTCACTTCTCCTGACTTCTCCAAACTCTTCACCCTTTTGTGAATAACCCTTTCAGTTTTTCATATTTTCCAAAGCACAGCAGTACCTTCTTTGAACAGAAGGTATTTACATATCTCTTGCCATTGCAAATGTATAAAAAGGGGATTATAGTGGGTGGAGCCATGCAAATCATTCTTTTATGTCCAAACTGTATACAGCTGTTTAAGGCTTATTGGTTATCATCAGTGAAACAGTTGTATGCAGTTTGAAATAAATAGCTATATAATAGTAGGCTGTATCTGTGTTATAAACCAACAGTTCTGCATGTATGGTTGGCCAAGGGGCATAAAGGAATGGGCATGGCTCTACCTCTGCTATGATTATTGTATATAGACTGGTGTTTAGGTGTATAAGATAAAACAGCTACTAGGATAATGCCATCATATGCTCTCCTCCTGGAAATGGTAGTTACCTGGTTACTTTTCTGACCCACTGGTTTCATTACTTTCTGAGTCACTGACCTGGAACAAGTATGCAGATCAATAAAGTCATAATTCCTGACATATATAAATATCTTCTGGGATGGTGGCTGAAAGTGTTAAAACATAAGAATCAGCATGACATCCAGGCAACTAGCATTTCCAGAGAGGTCCACAATGGCAGCCCTCATGCTTCTTTTATGACAGGTTTCCTTTAACTATATAATGTATTTTAAAATGGTTAGTATAAGATACGGGGGGCTGTTTTAAGAGAGAATTTAATGTGAAGTACAAGAAAAAAATGGTCAGAATCTATTAACAAACAATTACTCTTTTTAGGAACAAACAAGACTTAATAGCATCGTTTGTCAAACGTTCATATTCTGCTATGTCTGGTCCGTGGGGGGGAACCTAACAGAAAATCATTGGGATGCTTTTGATACATTTGTCAGACAGCAGTTTGAAGATAACCCTGAAGCTAAGGTAAGCACTGGAACATTTTTTTTTCCTGTGATAACAAATAATTATTTCTCAATTATTTGCCTGTGGTTTCCTTTCCTCCCTAAATAAATACATGCTTTCCCATACAAATGATATTTTAGAGGGTAGAGCACGAGCTCATGCAATAACAAATATGACCACTTGGTGTCACTGTTCATTTAGCTAAAGAAAACGCTGCCTTTTTTCAAACCCTAAGCTCAAATAAGGTTGAAGGCTCTAATAATATTTTTCAAAGACAAAAGAACACAGAGCTGTATAACATAATACATTCTGTGCTGAGCTTGTAAAGAAAATATGGTAAATACATATGTTTAAATATTGTGTCAATGTATGCTTATATAAAACAAAGATATATTTTAAATATATTTATTATTACTTCTGTTCCTGGGTATTATTAAATAGCCTCTAGCAGTATTGTGACAGGTGAATAGTGGTGTTTGAACTTATCATTCTAGTATAAAATGAAAGGGAAGTGTGCATGGTTTTCTTGTCATTGTAACTGATGTATGGAGACTGTGAAATATAAATCAAGCACTATTACCTTGCTCCATATTGTACGGGTGTCTATATATACTAATTTTTCTTCTATGTGGGTTTAATACATTGAGGATGAAATGTAGTTGGTATTTACCATTGTGAATCATGATTTAATATATACTGCCTGGCCAAAAAAAGTCACTACCTGTATTAAGGGCAGTGGTATGAGCTGGGCTTGCTTCAGTTGGTCAGGTCTATGTTCAGCAACATTATGCCCCCAAAAAATTAGGTCAGCTGTCTACCTGAAAATACTGAATGACCAGGTTTTTCCATCAATGGATTTTTTCTTATCTGATGGCTCGGGCATATTCCGATATGACAATGCCAGGATTCATCGGGCTCAAAATGTGAAAGAGTGTTCAGGGAGCATTAGACATTATGTTCACACATGGATTGGCCACCACAGAGTCCAGACCTTAACCCCATTGAGAATCTTTGGGATGTGCTGGGGAAGACTTTACACAGTGGCCCGACTCTCCTATCATCACTAAAAGATCTTGGTGAAAAATGAATGCAACTCTGGACAGAAATAAATGTTGTGACATTGCAGAAGCTTATTGAAACAATGCCACGGTGAATGCATGCCATAATCAAAGGCGGTCCAACCACTTTTATTTTTTTTGAGCAGGCAGTGTATCTTTGGAAAGATGTGAATAGCCATGTTCAAAAATAAATAATTTTGATTAAAAAGTAAGTAGTAACAGTATGCAACGCAAGTGTGCTATTTGTAGAAGCTCCCAATGGCACATAGAACAACACATAATACAAACTTGTGGCTATATTGAGGTTATTTATCAATTTCAGTAAAAACAATATTAGTGTTTTACCTTTGTTTGCAATATTAATGTTTTTTTAGCTTCCTACCTCTGGTGACCTATGGAGTGTCTACATGGATTATGATACCAAACGTCTAGATCCATGGGAGAGGATCATTCCCTCATTCAAGTATAACAATGATGTGCCATTTTTTGAGATGCTTGTTCCTACCACTGATACTGTCCGATATGGTTACCTAATGGAAAAGCTGCTGGCTATAGGACACTCTGTGCTCTTTACCGGTACTACAGGAGTGGGAAAGGTATGTTATAGTGGAACATTGTTGGGGAAATTGCCATCATGATGGAATACTCGGGGAGCATAATAATAATAATATTTATGATTTAATAAAAAATAGAGACTATTATTTTAATGGTCATAAGCACAAATGTTTCCACCGCTCCAGTCTTCTGACTGTAACGGTCCTTTAAAGGAGAACTCTGGGTGTTAGGGTTCCAATTTTAGAGTTCCTTGGGATTCAACCGTGCTGCTAGCTTCAGACAAGTACTTGGGCATAAAGAGTCATACCAACTTGTGTATTCACGCTATATTCAAAGGTTTATTGTTAAAAGAAAAGGTTATATGTTCAACTAAAAGGGGGGTGGCGGAGCATAAACCAATTAAAATCATACACGTATACAAAACTACAAGACTATCATGATAGTAAGAATCATGAGACAACCTTGGGGGGATTTGTAAACTAAACAACCAGAAGACAAAAACTGAGATAAGAGATACAATTTGCAAAGTCTAACATTTTAGAAACATCTCAAACTGGGTTCTGTGGAATAGAGTGAAAAACACAATTTTGCTTGCTCAGACATTGACTATGTATAACCCAGAAACAGGCCAATGAAATGAATCACCCTTTCAATGGGGAAATCTTTTGTTAACCTGTGCAGTGGGGCTACTCCCGCACTGCAAGGGTTAAGTGCTCATTTTGGTCTAGGGATGAAAATAAAGATATACTCACCTGCTTCTCCGAGCCAGCTTGCTTAGACCACCTGGAGCCTCTCTCCCCTTCTGCTCTAAAAAAAGAACCCTGGAGTTCTGCTTTAAAACAGTAAGCAACCTCATTGGCCAATAAAGTTGGCAGGCTGAAGGGGGTGGGACATGTCAAGATCTGCTTATAAATTCAGCTGCCAATGTCTGAATCTGCTGACCTCTGGATATGTCTTTTTATATTCTTCAGTTTGAGTTGATCTTTCCTTTACCTTTTGCCATCCTTTGTTGTATCTCAGCACGGCTCATCTCCAGCAGTCTCACTGCAACTGCTACCAGGCTGTCATTTTGACAGCTGGTAATTGCTGATAATAGCTGAGCAGGGGGGAGCGGCGTTCAGAAGAAAGAATCTGGATGTAAGAGATGTGTATCTGTTCTATTCAAAATCCTTAAATGGTTATAAAAGGCTTAACCAGTCTTTTTGTTAAGTGATTAATTTTCATTAATTAAGGAAGTCATCTTTTGCTCCTCTTTGTGGATGAATGTATGAATTACATTTAATTCCACTAACCTCTTGAAATATATGTACATACACATTTGCTTCCAATTGAGCAAAGTATGCTTTATGTTAATCGTTGCCATGCAATGAATATACATTACAGGTTTGTGCAATTCATTTTCATTACTTCACTGTGATTGTGACAGCAGTGAAACTAAAAGGCTTTAGTAAACAAATATTGAATTAAAATTAATGTATAACCTAACGGAATGACAATTTAGTTTGCTCTGTGCACTGTCTATGATAATCAATTGCAATTTTTATTTTTAATAAAATACTGCTTGCATTTTTTTTTAATCCATCGTAACATCTCAATGTCTTTGATCTCCTGCAGCGTCTGTACAGCCACTCAATGTCTGCATGCACTTCACAAAGGCTGCATGTTTTTTCTCAGGGAGGTTTCCTGATGGTGACAACAGTAGACCATGCCTGTGTAATATGTTGTGAAATGTCCACTTATAGTTTCCATCAGAAGCCCTGGGTGACAATGCAGGGGCACAATTGGGAGTCAAGGGACAGCGCGTTGTCACCTTACAACAGGAAGTGACTACATATGGAACTTCATGGCTGGAGCACCAGAGATTATTTTAATGATAGCTGCAGAATTAAACATGTTAAAAATGACTTCACAGATTAACATGTTTTATTCTATTTTAATTAACAAATAAGTTGTCTATGGATGGGGATATTTTAACACGTGGGGGTCTGTTTATTAACAGTTCACCGGGTTGTTTGCCCTGTGAAAACATTCATATTTATTCTGTGCTGATATATGCCAAAAGTAATGTTCTTTAGATGTTTCTTTGCAAGTGAGTGTAGTTTTGTTTTTTTTCCCCATGTAATATTGCATTATGGCTGCTAAATGGCACTGAGGAGCTTAGAAAATAAATGCTTTTTTTTCTTTGTTCCTTTAGTTTCATCTAGTGGTCTTAATGCTGTATTACATGAAAACATTCAACAAATGATTCCGCTTGTAAAGAAAAAACTAAAGAACATTCATTTTTTTAATATATATTCGCACAAAGTAAAATTTAACAGACATTTACATGGTGAACAGCACTGTGAATTGTTTAAAAGAGAACTATGGGGTAACCTTTTTATCCCATAGTTTTTTAAGGGTCACGGGAGGGCATATACTAACGTCCTCCCGTGACCCAAAGCTCAGTATATAGCAGGCTATTGCCCGCTATATACTGAGAGCGCCACAGCCGGGACGGACCTAGACAATACTGTTGAGATCCACCCAGCTGGTTGATTGACAGTGGGCTCTGCCTATCTAGAGGCAGAGCCAGCTGTGCCCGCCCCCTCCCCCGTCTGTTCCTCCACTCAGCGCTGGAGTATGGGAGAGGGGGGAATCCCTGCGGGGAGCGATGACTGATAGTCGCCGCTCTCTGCAGGGAGATGATCGGAAAGTGAGCTCACTTCCCAATCTATAAATTCGATGTGTGACAGTTTCATTGTCACAGGTCGGCTCTAATTATGAGGATGAGTGAAAATCACTCCCCTCATAGTTCTTTAAAAAAAAGAGTAGTAATCCAATCAGATGCAGTCACGGTTAGGGAATTGAGACAGCCGCAGGTGCAAGTTGACTGTATACATAAGCCAGCAGGTGGAGGGTCCTTCATCTACATTGTTTAACATTGCTGGGGAATCAAATGACTTTTCTCGCTCACCTAATGGGCTGAACAAGAGAAATCTGTGCTTGTTTGTCTAGCTTTATTGACATCATAGCAGTCCTGTAAAGGAGGAACGAAAAAGCTACAAACTAACCATAATCGTATATTAAATGCAATGTGATATAATACAAGTCTCAGGAGTGGCAATGTGCTATTTTTCCTAGTTGCATACAATAGCCATGTACATATATGTTAATACATTTGTGTACTTCTAACTTGCAGTCTGTAGTAGCACGAGGATTACTGAACAGAATACAAGATGAAGCGGGGTATGTTCCTGTCTACATAAACTTTTCTGCCCAGACTTCCTCTGCACGGACACAGGAAATAATAGAGTCAAAGCTGGAGAAGAAGAGAAAAACTATCTTGGGTAAGGTGTTTATTTTTGAGTTTGCTGATTTGTGGTTCATTAAGAAGAGAATTTCCAGCAACTTTAGAAATGTTGACACTGTTGCGGGTTGCTGCTCATGAGGTCTGATGTCACAGCCCATAGTGAAGTCCCCCACCATGCCTACTTGTAACAAATTCAAGTACTTGTTTCCGACATTTGTTGTGCAGAGGCACAACGCAATGCTAAAGAGTGTCTGCTACACTCTTTATGGATTCCAGGGATTATATTATCATAAAATTTACATTGTAAATCATAAAGCTGATTTACAGTGTACAATACAGTGTACAATCACTCCAGTTTAGATTTTGGCTTTACATTTCACGTGTAAAATGCCTTTGGGGGGTTTTCCATTTCTTGTGTGTTCCAGTTCTCTTGTGTTTTTGTGTCCTTTGCATTCGGAAGGTTAGCATCATAGTAATGTGGTATATATAAAATGAGTCTTTTATTTTTGACAATATAGACTTGTGTACTGCATACAGGAACAGAGTTAGCGGTAAACACGATATGTTATGTCACATAATGAAAAGGTCCCTGAATTGTGCACTGTATTTAGACACTTGAGGGCATTGCAGGTCAATCTTTTACTGAGAAGCTCTTCTTTGATAGTGAATGTGCCTGAGCATTAGTTTATTTTTTTAAATTTATATAAGTACAGTTAGAACACACCCGTGAATTGCTATCACAGCGGCCTCCCGATATTACCTCTCCCCCTTGGATTAAAGACAATTGTAACAAATAGAGAACAGGGGTTTGAGGAGATGTACACAACCACAACATGGATGCATTTTATCAAAAATATATAACGTTTATTATACACTGAATAAATAATATAAAATCACATGTGCAATAATCACACTAGACAATAACACCGTTCCTATTGTCAGGAGTATATAAGCCATAAAAAGTATCACAACCCCAAAATTCCAGTAACATTAATTTGATACCACATCTACATTCAAATGGAGATAGATATATCCAGTCCAAACGCATTTCACATATTGCTTCCTCAGGGGATCATGGATTAATCTGGCAAAAGAAATTATACATCAAATTAATTCTCCTAGACAATACAACATATCCATAGGGAACTTATATAAGACATGAATAAAATTCCATTGACAGCCGGATCAAGCAGAAAAGGAGCCCCACCACCAGTAAGCACCCACCACTTACCATACTTGTATGGTATCTGTAGAGGGACAGTGATTCGTAGACTGAGTGGGGGCGGGGATTGTAATCCACCAACCCAGCCACTACATCCAATGTTGCCTCGGGGACCCTGAGGCCACAAGTAGAGGAGCGCAGGAGAACCAGAAAAGGGGGGAAAGGCCCACCTATCTTCTGTCTGTGCTGCAATGATGGTGTGATTGAGCAAATTGTTGGCCAAAATTCAGAGCTGTTCGTATTCCAAAAGCTGTTCTATGAGCAAATAATATATCTAGTATTGTGGATGATATCAGAGGGCATCCTATACAATTTGTATTATTGGTGCTACTCCCCAGGCCGCATACAAGTGATCTTGGCAACATCGCCGAGATCACTTGTATAGAACAATCGGCGGCTTCCCTGCTGTACATTTAGCCCTGCTTGCCCAAAACAGGACTAAATGTAGACAACAACTACCCGCCGCACGCAACTGCATGGAGATAGGAATTCCACACCCCTGCTGCCCCCCTACTCCCTGCTGCCCCGAGGCTGGGCCTCGGTTGGTCTTGTGGGAAATCCGGCCCTGACTGTGCAGTTTGAGTTATATAAATAAGCCTATATATCTCTCTATACATAAAAGAAAGCCAAAACTGTCAATCTTGACGTTGATGGAAGCCTCTTCATAAAGCCTGTTTACCTTGTTTTCTTTGTATAAATACACTGTACATGAACATATACAGTATATAAACACACTAACTATACATACGATTATTTGTGTTTCAGTAGCAAAGTACATACTTTTTCCTTGTATGAATATGTGCCAGGAATAAATACATCTGACTTTTTACCTGTCTTTATTTTGTATCCTGCTCACAGGGGCTCCCGGGAACAAGCGAGTTATCATATTTGTAGATGACTTAAACATGCCAAAATTAGATCGATATGGATCCCAACCCCCCATTGAATTACTTCGCCAGTATCAAGATTTTAAAGGGTTTTATGACAGAGAAAAAATGTTTTGGAAAGAAGTTCAGGTACCATGAAACTATCTTTTCAATATCGCTGTGATTGATGATTGATATTATTTGGTCTGCTAAATATTATAAATCGCCAAAGCAATATTTTGACGTGTATTTATTCAGAATATTGTTACATTTACACAAATGTTTTGAGATATATATACAGTATGTGTGTATATATATATACAGGTGAAACTCGAATAATTAGAATATCGTGCAAAGTTCATTTATTTCACTAATGCAACTTAAAAGGTGAAACTAATATATGAGATAGACTCATTACATGCAAAGCAAGATAGTTCAAGCCGTGATTTGTCATAATTGATGATGATTATGGCTTAAAGCTCATGAAAACCCCAAGAACCCCAAATCCACAACCTCAAAAAAGTAGATTATTACATGCAATCAATAAAACAAGGATTGTACATAGAACAATATCGGACCTCTGAAAAGTATAAGCATGCATATGTACTCAGTACTTGGTTTGGGCCCCTTTTGCAGCAATTACTGCAATTACTTTTGCACGATATTCTAATTATTCGAGTTTCACCTGTATCTATATATCTCTCTATCTATAGAGAGAGATATATAGATATATATATATATTTGTTTATTTATTTATTATATATGGCTTTGCTGAATGGATGTCTGCACTGAAAGAAATAAGGAAACAACAATTGCTGACCTGCTTCTAAAAATGCTAGTTTCCTGGCCGTCTCTAGTCTCAATACTTTGGGAGTCACTGACCTGGAACAAGCGCACAACTAGTAAAGTCAAATAAAAGTCACAGCTCCTGATTTTCATACTTGTTCTATGCCAGTGACTCAGTACTAAAGCCTTTGGCCAATGTACGAGCGTGGAAAGTAGCATTTGCAATAAGGAATTCACACTAACCTATCAGCTAAAATGCTGTGATTTAGCGGGGAGGCCAGTGCCGCAATGTGCGGTGTGAAATTACGTCAAGATATTGAAGAAGTACATAAATGGGCATCTTTAATAAGTAAGTTTACAAGCTTCTAGATTGATATGGTTTTTAGGAGTGGGATAGAACGTATGGAAATCCAATAGAAATACAGATTTATTTTTCGTTTTTGACCATAGAAACCATCTAACTTTTCATCTATTTTTCATAACAATGGCTAGTTGTTTGTATTGTTTGTAATTGTCATGTGGTTTTGGTCTGTTAAAAAAGTAGATGACAAAAACACATTTGAGTGAAATGTGCACTTATGTAAATTTGTAAAACAAATTATTTCAAGATCAACTCTAGGCAGAAAAAAAAAGACACAAATTGATGCAACTCTGTAATCAGGAAATCATTACATCAATAAATGTATTTTTGTAACACGAACAGTGAAGGCACCTGGATTCGACTTGGTACCTGCTTCTTGCCATCTACTGTGCAGCAGAATTCAGACTGCAGGAGGGAAAAGCAGCACAAGAAGCCAATCAGTTCTGCTGCAGTGCAAAGGCATGCTGTTTGGAGGAGAGATCTGTCTGACAGAGAGATTAACTCATCAGTGTGCTGCTTCTCTTTTCACTGTGCAGTATCAGGGTGGGGGTTTGTGAGGACACTTGTGTGTGAAAGTGAAACTGCACCACAGAGATTAAGCCCCCCCACTGGATTGTGCTGTGTGGGAGAGCTATGGAAATTTCAGGACTGGATGGATAAAACTACAAATGCTTTGCCAAGTAAAATAACTTTCATAAACTGTATATATTGTTTCTGCAGAGTTAGCTGTTTGCCTGGAATTCAGCTGTAAAGCAAGCATGGAAAATATCTCTGAAATATTTGACAGCAAGTTTGTTCTTACAATCATTGTCAGTGCATAGCAAATGATGAGTCTCTTTACTGTATGCTGCTGGTGACGTGGCTTTGATCAGGTGTCTGTACACTGAACATTTCATCATCAGATAGGCTCTGCACTGTTTACTGGTCACATATGGACCTCTGCGGTTATCCAATTTGTCCCTTTGTTACATTCTGGTCATCTGATGACAGCATATTATTGTGTGCACTGATCATGAGATGTTTCTGTATACTGTGTAATATTGATCATAGTTATGGAATTGTCAGATCCTATACATTTCACCATGACGGGTAGATATGGGACAAATACATCTGACAAGACAAAGGGGTGATTGTAAACTGTACGGATCTCCAATTTTATTCTAGTTGTACCATAACTAATCAAACTGAAATATATATATTTTAGTTTGATTAATTATGGAATACCGGAATAACTAGAATTGACTGCATAGAAATTTCGGCTGCCGAAACATATCAGCTGAAAATGGCACTTTTGGCAAAATGCTGAGACTGCCATTTTTTGGCCAAAATTGCATTGCATACTTAGTTTCTCTCCTCCCCACTGTGCTCTGCTCAGTGTCCCTTCTGACACAGCACATTGTTTAGCAGAGAGGAGAAACACTGTCAGAGGAGGCTGAGCGCCCCTCAGCCTCCCCTGACCGATAAGGATGGAGAGCGGTGTGTGAGCGTAGACAGCTGTTAGCTGTCACAGGAGGCCGAGCTGGCGGTGCAGGGAAGGAGTCAGCTGTCAAAATAGACCGTGCTCTCCTCCCCGCACCGCAGGCTCACCCTCCTATGAACGCGAGTCAGGATGGAGAGCGGTACAAGCAGTTAGCGATTAGTGATCGCTGACGGCTTGTAAATAACTGGACATAGTATGAGTGACTACGTACCAGTTATGTATGAATAAGAAGCGATCTACATCACTTCCTCTTCATTTATAATTGTGTGCATAGTAACACACACTATAGCCACAAGTTATGAATGAACAGGAACACTCATTATAGAGGATTCCTGTTCATTTATAACAGGGACTGCAGAAAATGAGATTGTGGACCCTGTGTCCTCACTCTTTTTCTATTCTCTATCACTCTTTTTCTGTCCTCATCTCTTTTTCTATTGTAAAAAGGAAATATCAGGAGTCTGTTTAGAGCCCCTCCAACAGTAAAGTTAAAAAATAAAAATAGTTAAATGGACCTTGCTTTGTGCACTGGTGCTCGGTCATGTTGGAACAGGAAGGGGCCATCCCCAAAGTTAGGAGCGTAAAATTGTCCGAAATGTCTTGGTATGCTGATGCCTTAAGAGTTCCCTTCACTGGAACTATAGGGGCCAAGCCCAACCCCTGAAAAACAACCCCACACCATAATCCCCCCTCCACCAAACTTTACACATGGCACAATGCAGTCAGCCAAGTATCGTTCTCCTGGCAACCGCCAAACCCAGACACATCCATCGGATTGCCAGACAGAGAAGCATGATTCATCACTCCAGAGAACACGTTTCCACTTCTCTAGAGTCCAGTGGCGGTGTGCTTTACACCACTGCATCCGATGCTTTGCATTGCACTTGGTGATGTAAGGCTTGGATGCAGCTGCTCAGCCCCGGAAACCCATTCCATGAAGCTCTCTACGCACTGTTGTGCCAATCTGCAGGCCACATGAAGTTTGGAGGTCTGTAGCTATTGACTCTGCAGACAGTTGGCGACTTCTGCGCACTGTGCGCTTCAGCATGCGCTGACCCCGCTCTGTCATTTTACGTGGCCTACCACTTAGTGGCTGAGTTGCTGTTGTTCCCAGTTTCTTCCACTTTGTTATAATACCACTAACAGTTAACCATGGAATATTTAGTAACAAGGAAATTTCACGGCTGGACTTATTGCACAGGTGGCAACCTATCACGGTACCACGCTTGAATTCACTGAGTTCCTGAGAGCGACCCATTCTTTCACAAATGTTTGTAGAAGCAGTCTGCATGCCTAGGTGCTTGATTTTATACACCTGTGGCCATGGAGGTGATTGGAACACCTGAATACAATGATTTGGAGGGGTGTCCCAATACATTTGGCAATAGAGTGTGTGTATATATATATATATACAGTATATACATATATACTTTCTATAAATACATTACCACAACCCAGTTTCATTTTAACCAAAAAGTAGTTTACCCATAAACCAAAAAGCATATTTTGAGATAATCTGTCATGTAATAACTGGCAATACCCGAATTTATATCCAGCTGCCACCAGCTGTGTGCGTGACTTAAAGGAGAACTATGAGGTGAGTGCTTTTCACTCACCTCATAGTTCTAGCCGACCTGTGACAATGAGACTGTTATAGGTCGGCTCAGTAGATCGGGAGGTGAGTGAACACATACCGGCGTTCGCTCACCTCTCGATCCTGTCACAGCTCTCTGCCGTGACAGGGGAGGGGCTGGATTCCCCCCTCCCCGCTCCGATGTGCTGACTGGCGGATCGGACGGGGGAGGGGCCGGGTACAGCTGGCTCTGCCTCTAGATAGGCAGAGCCAGCTGTCACTCACGCAGCTGGGCGGATCCCGACATAATTGTCGGGATCCGCTTCAGCTGCGGCGTCTCATCGCGGTATACTGTGTCGTCTCAGTATACCGCGAGCTGTAGCTCATGGTATACTGAGCTTAGGGTGACGGGAGGACACTAGTTTGTGTCCTCCCGTTACCCTAAAGAGAACTATGGGGAAAAGCCTTAACCCCATAGTTCTCCTTTAATGTTCTGAGTTACACATTCAGCTACATGAAGACACTGTCTGCCTTTTGCAGCACTTACTGCAATTACTTTTGCACGATATTCTAATTATTCGAGTTTCACCTGTACAGACAGCTCAGAGCTGAGGAAGGATCACCTAAGCTCCTCTTTGGATCTGATGTGTCATATGACACAGATGGGGAGAAGTCCAGGAGGAAAGGACATCCTCCGGTTGAACTTCTTTTGAGGCCCCACATAATGACACTGGTGGGATTTTCGCTGGGATGTAGCAGGACAAGGGTGATTAGTTAATTATTCAGCTGTGGGGGGGGTTCTTATGTGGAGCTCTCTGTGGGGGGATGTTGTTTGGGGTGGTGAGTTCTTATAAAGAGAAGCAGGGATAAAGTGGTGGTGGTGACTCTGCTGTAAAAAGGGGGGTTCTCAGGAGCAGCTCTCCGCTGAGAAGGGGGCTGTGCTATAAAGGGGGAATTTCTTATGAAGAGGATCTCTCTGCTGGGGTGTGGGTTGACTCTGCTCTGGGAGAAGGGGGGGGGGGGCAATTCTGAGAAGGAGCTCTCCCCTTTCCATACTGATTTGCATTTTATTGTAGACTCCAGACCGATTATTTAGGCTCCTCACACTTTTAAATCATACTTTGGCCACTCACACCATCTGGTGCATTATTCTTTGGTCCTGCAGCAACCTGGAAAGTTGATGTCCTTAACATCCTCATTTACAATACTTGAACAGTGGTGACTGCTGGTCCTGCATTGTATATGATGACATTAGTGAGAGGGTAGAGAGGGTCATTGCGCAAAGTGACCTGAGAAGAGGAGCATCTTTGGTGGGCTGGTTGTCACTTTCAGATCTTATGGGGAGAAATCCTTTGGGACCTTGTAGTAGGGTAATTAATTATCCTTATTAAATCTCCCCTAAACTAATCAAACACATCCTGAATAAATGGGGGATAGGAAGGCACCCACATTTAATTTTTTTGGGCACACCCAGAGTTGACTTTTAACACTTTTCTTAACTAGCTGTTAATAACTTATGCTTTTTGTCTGTGTAATATTGTTTTTTAAACCCATTTCTGTGTACATTTCCCTTGTCTGGTGAGTAGATTTCACATGGTTTAACAACATCACACTTTTACTAAGGAAGTCATTTCAGGGCTCTCTTTCATTATGTTTATCATTACATGGAGATGGCTGAGTACTCTTGCATCTCACAGTTCTATTTGACACAGATTTTGCATGATGTTATCTTCTTTTCCTGTAGGACGTGACTATTGCAGCTGCCTGTGCTCCTCCAGGTGGAGGTCGCAATCCAGTAACTCCACGCTTTATAAGACACTTCAGCATGTTATGCCTGCCAACACCCTCGGAGCACAGCCTTAAACAGATTTTTCAGGTCAGTGACTTCTTCAGCAAACCCAGAAAATGAAATCAGCCCGTATTCCACAATCCTAAAAAAAAATGTTTTGTTTTTTTTTCTTTTTGAACAAAGAATTAATCTGCATTTCAACAGTGCAGGTAAAAATGGTGAAATGATTACCCATAGGTTTCTACTGAAATTAATGTTTATTTTAGAAGTTTAGTGTATTTGACATCAGCACAAATTTTTTATTATTATTGCAACATTTAGTTAATGTAATTTTTTTATGTGACTTCCACATTTCTACAAAATGTTTTTTGTTTATGTTTTTGTCATTGTACTAAATACAGATATTTGTAGATATTTGCAAAAGTTAATGTTAAGCTGACCATACACTGGTCGAATTTCCGCTGACTTGGCCGAAATTCAAACATCGTGTCCCCCTTGGGACCCCCATTTGAGAAAAGCTGACTTTTCAATTGACTTTGGTTGAAAAAGCCGGTCCAAACATTTTCGGCCAAACAGGAACTGCAGCCAATAAGCTGCAGACACTGTTGGAGTTTACTGACAGCGGTATGTCCACTGCTGTCAGAATACAATGGCTGGCAGCGGAGATTCCCCCATCCATGCTGTTTAACTGAGATGGCAGAATCGAGCATTTTTTCTAATTTAGCCCGCAGAGCTGAATAAGCAAAAACAATCAGTGTATGACCAGGCTTAGTGAATAAGGTGAAACTGTGTTTTCTTTGACTACCCAATTGTGCCCTAAAAAAATCCTGTAATTTCCCTCACTCAGGGGCTCAGAGGGATATTTGAAGTCTACAGGGGTACACCTTATTTACTAACATTTACTTTGCTAAGTAAAAACCCCTGTAGTAAATTAGCCCCTATGTCTTGGCATCTGTTTAGATAACATATGATATCATTTTGCAAGGACATTTTTACTTAGCTTAATGACTGAGGTAAAGCTGATTGACTATTCTTTGAAAAGTGCATTTTCAGCACATTCACAAAGAAAAAGGGAAACTTCCCCTACAAAGTGCAAATTGCCTTGCAAAGTGAACATCCAATTAGCCTTTTGTAAATCAATCCCATGGTTTTTATTAGAGTTGATTCACTAAAGGAGTACAGTGTTCACTTAGCAAAGTGAATATTCATTTACCTAAGTGAATAAGGTGAAACTGTGTTCACTTTAATTTTCCAATCATTTGCAAACAAAATTCTAATTTATTTTTATTTCCCTTTGTATGATAATATTGTTTTTTTTACAGTGACATGGGGTAAATATCCTCAAATGGGAATTTTGTATAGGTAATGAGTCCACAGAGTAATTAACATTTGAAACCGGCCACTACCTGCTTTATATCCAGCTTAAACATAATACATAAAAGCATAAAAAAATAAACATAGACAGCATTTCCTGCATCATTCAAATAAGGTGCCTTTCCACAGGAAAAATGTAACATAAAATAAATCTTAGTCTGTCCGACAATTACTAACGCAAAATAATAGCTTGTACTTACAAGGCTGCCATAATACTGTCCCTCTTTGCAGTCAAGCATAATCTAGTTTCCCTAAAGTTTGAGAAAAATGTGTAAACAGCTAGTTCCCACTAAATAGGACAATCACACCTAACTGGACCAGGAATCCCAGTAGTGCAAATATTACCTTTCTGCACCAGACTGGTGTTGGCATTGCTTCTGTCACACCTTAACATAAAGTGCCTGTTGTAGATTTTCCCATACTTCATGTCTGCTAAAGTGTTGTCAGCAGGAGAGGAAGTAAGGCTAAATCTCTCTAAGGGAGCCCCACATACCAGTAAAAAATCTGGCAGGAGTTCTAATCCTTCCCCACTAAAACAAAAACATGTTTTGAATTGACACACATAATGGTTTCTTTTACTTACTGAACTCAGATGTGCCTAGCACAGAGCAAGTTCTATCATGCAGCTTCCCAATGTTTTCTTTAGGAACACGCTAAGATTAATGACTCCTGTCTTATTCTACTGCTGACCACAAGACAGTGGATAGAGGACTGTCAATGTCCTTTAATCATTCTCTAATGGTGCCTACAGACATATAAAAACACAAAATAAAAATATATTCACAACTGAAAACTAACCATTTGGTTCCAGGTAGACACAGCTTCTAATTTTTTTCACCAGGTTATTTTCACGGAAATCATATGTGTAACTTAATAATATTGTAGGTGCAAGTTTACTAAGCTAAGTAATGCATTGTAAAGATCTCCTTTAAAAAAAAGCATTGGGATCCTTAGTAAAAAGAACTACCAGGGTTGCAGAGGTTGCAGCTTCAACTTGGTCCTGGTGCTCCACGACTGTCCTGAAATCATGTACCAGTACTTGTTGTGAGTACTTGGACAAGTATTGGTACTTGTACTTGGTCTGGAAAAAAAAGTATCAGTATATATTATGCACAAATCCCAGGAGCTCTGTATGCTCCTTAAAAATGACCGCTGCCTCCTAACTTTAGAGTTTTCCTCTAGTCTAGTCTTGGAGCTGGAAAGGTAGTGTATGTGTACTTGTATTTGTACTTGTACCAAATACGGCACTTGATATCTGTGTATCCCCAGTAAAAAGAACATTGTAAGTAAAAAAATTTAACTGCAATTAACATTAACATTCTGGGTGAAAACAACCCACATTCTAAAGATCCTAAATATATAATGTATTTCATTAAAACCTTAAAATAAATTATATTATGGAGATAGCATGACATGCAATCGGCATACAAATAAAATTGCTGATGGATTTGCAGGTAGGCTGGTGGTTGTTAGATGGAGCACCAAATGTACAGAATGACTGACTTGTCTGTTTCACTCTTTACAGTTGATTGGGAAAAAGATATGATTTCTCAACTGTCTCTTCCTATTCATGTCTACCTGAAACCAGATGGCCAGTCTTGAGTTGTGTATAGTTTATCGTTACACATTGTACTGTTAATAGACAGACAGATGGAGCAGCAAGCATCCTGTTTCTGGATCTGTAGTTGCAGATGTCATATCCATGTTATCATTTTTAAGGTTGGCAAGAGAGTGAAAAAGGAAGATAATGAATTATCTGGCCAAAGAATGCAATTGTTGTAACTGAACAATTGAAAGATATCTAGAAATAACTTTTTAGTATTGGATCTTTGCACACATAATCTTGCTCCTCAAAGCGTTAAAGGTGAAGAGGATAAGATGTGTACCCCATGGTCCCTGTGTGTGTTGTAAAGTACCCACTGCTCCAAGCTTGCTCCTGTGATGGACTACAATCTCATGCTTAGTTTACAAATTTGTATCGAGATTGTAGTCCATCACGGGAGTGAGCTTGGAGAGGTGGCTACTTTAAAACACACTCACAGGGACCATGAGGAACACAAGTAGCCACCCTCCAGAAGGAAGGACAGTGTCAGCATGAATTCAGAGATGATTTGAGGATCTACAGCTGAGTGATACACAAATAAGATACATTTTTGTTAATAGTTAAGGTACCTGAATGCATTTTTATGATTTAACGCCTACGTTTAGTTTCATTTGCAAAGCTGAGCCTAAGTCATTATTGGTCATTTATTGATACAATATATCTGCTTGAAAGTAAATTTTCTTAGTATAGATTTAACATGTGCCTCTGATCCATGCCTAGAGGTTGCCATATTTCTTTTACATGGGCAGGTAGAGAGCATTCATTTTCTGATTTTTTTCTCCTACCATCATACACTGCCACTGCTCCAGGTCTTTTTAGCAGTGTCACTCCTGTGGTGCTCCTCTGTATCTCTCCAGTAGTGCCCCCACTACATGTTACCCTAGCAGTGTCCCTGCTCCATGACCCACTATCAGTGTCATCACACAGTGTATCATTTATTAGCAGTACTGCAGTTATTGTTCCTCAAGCAGGGCTGCAGCTCATTGTCCTCCACAGGAGCACCCCTGCTCTATGTCTCTTACACTGGGCACAAGTACTGCCCAAGCTACTTGATATTCATCCCAGGAAATCACTGAGTGATGGCAGCAGACTAGAATCTTGTGATAACTTCACACTGGTCTGTTCACAGTGATGAGACCATCTTATGCTTGGCAATATCCCAATGCTATGCATGTGTAAAATTGTCTAGACTGTAGAACATTTTTTCCTCACTGGATAGCACATATGTGAATGTTAGGAATGTTATACTATATTTTAAAGTTCCAAACCGAGCAGCATATATCTCCCGTCTTATTTAGCCATGCACTTACTCTACATAAAGCCAGAGATAGCCAGCCTTTTTGATGCTGATGCCAGAAGTACCATATGTCTTGGACCCCCATTATTTGCTTGCCATTCTTTGGGAACCCCAAAAGCATGACATTAACTATAACCTGTTATAATGACTGTCATATCCTCCAATCCAGACTCCTCAAAAATAGTGATGAGCTGAACATCACCTAGAACATTAGAATATGGAAAAAGTTCTAACTCGAACTTAGAACTCAATGCAAATCTATGGGACCAGAACTCGTAAAATCAAATATCCCCATTTTGAAAGCTTATATGCAAGTCATTGGCCATATAAGGGTATGGGGATTCGGGTACTGCCCTGGGGGACATGTATCAATGCAAAAAAAAACACTTTTAAAAAATATTGTTTTTAGACGAGCAGTGATTTTAACATTGCTTAAAGTGAAATGTCAAAAAATGACATTTAAATTGCCGGTAATATGCCTTTTCTTTAGGTCTAAGAAAAATGTATTTCTTATTATGAAGTGAGCCACCTAATATACTGGTAGTTTTTATGTACAGAATAGCCTTTATGGCTTTTTTTTCATTTTGCGAACTTGAGTTTGAAGGTCATGTTTTTCAGTAAGGGATTTTACTCTCCTTATAGCATTTTTCATTTTAGACAGTGCCAGGATTTATGTTGACATAAACTTACCACCATAATCTCCAAGAGACACAAAAAGTTGGTGGGTGACATAATTGTAGAACTTGTAGCATTGTTTTGGATTTACCAAAACAACCCCTTTTTTTTTAGGGTTTGTAAATTTTTTGGCATTTTCCCTGATATCCTTATCTGAAATGTATATGAGCAGGAGGAATATTTACAAGTTTGCTAATCTTGTGTTGTGAAGCCAAAAGTGCTTGTATCCCATGAGTATGCATGTGCTGAAACAGGTTATACATTTGTAGAAACTGCTAGATAATTGTAGGCTGCACCTCTTTCCTGTTTATACCTTCCTGTCCTGAGTAATTGTTTTGAGATAAAAAATTATCCTGAAATTTATCTTTTTAATGAAAAAATAATTACATCTGTGTGTTATTCTTTTATGTAGGCAATCCTTAATGGCTTTTTGACAGATTTTCCTGTGGCGGTAAAGCAGAGTGCAAGCAATATAGTGGATGCTGCAGTGGAAATCTACCATCAAATGAGCATTGATCTACTTCCAACTCCTGCAAAATCCCATTATGTATTTAATTTGCGTGACTTGTCAAAGTGTGTTCAAGGTACATTGTTCTCTAATACCAAAAATAATTTATTTTATATTGTCAATACATTATGGAAATGAGTTACAGTTGCAGTGTTCAACCTAAATGAAGTCTATGGTTTTAAGTGTGGTTTATTAATTTTTCCATTTTGTGGGGTGTATTCTTCAGTGATTCAACAGTAACTTTGCCCAACATTTACTTATTTTTGGCCAAGATTTAATTTTCCAGATTTATCACAGATGTTTTGGCCAATTTTCAAACAAGATTCGCCTGTCCAAAACAGCATCAAACAAACTTCACCCATTTAAAAATGTAATCAAGCAAGATTCACCCAACATCTGTTCTTCAATAAGAAAGTGTTTTACTGTACTATCCATCCTCTATATTTCACTCAGTAAATGTACAATATATTTATTCTGAAATTCACCCAGTATTCATCCACTTTTCCTCACTTTTCGCTTAATAGTCAAACTGTTCCCTGGTTAAAAAGGGGATGTGTATTTTAAAGTGTGTCTTGGTTTTGGAGCTGTGGATTTTTGGCTTATTAAAAGAGCTAAAGCCGTGTTTTTTTCCCATATAAATTTTGAGAATACACAGGTATGCGTTGTTAACCAAAAATTCCTAAAGCACGAGTAGCCATACAAAAGAGACAGATATCACCATAGACAGGTAATCGCAATACTGTAACACAAGATTGGTAATGGCTAAAAGCAAATTACACATGACACATTGCTCTAGTTGTTGGAGTTCCTCAACATAGTCGATGGGACATGACTTAAAGACAGATGTTGTGTCCACTAATATAGGATGTGCGAGATCCTTGCCGTGAATTCCAGTGTCGGGTACTGTCGAGGCAGAGCCAGAAACATACTATACTGGGAGGCCCCAGATTGTAGTGGACTAAGGATCAAGTGAGTGGCGTATTTTCAGCGACGACATGGGAATGGTGTTTAACTTGGTTAACCTTGCGTTTCAAGGAGTGATACCACAGAAGACAAACGGCACAACAGGAGAGGAGATTGGGAAGGGGGAAAGCAAGAAGGAGCTAGAAATAGTGAAGAAAAAAAGGGAGGAGCTGGGCTGTGCGCAGGAGTGGGCGTGCCATCCCCTCAGTTAAACCTGTGTTTTTAATACAACTTCAGCACTTGCATAGTTAATTGTTTTGTATTTTTTATTGTAACAAAAATACATTTTAAAAAACAGTTTGTCCCCCCCCTCCCTCCCTCCACAAATGAACCAGGCCAACATTCCAAGCATGCAGGCTCCTTGGCATCAGGCTCATTGGCATCCCCTGTATCCAGGAGGGGGTGCTGGTAAGGAGGGGGTTATAATTTACCACCTACCAGCCCCCTCAAAAGGGGCAAGTAGGTGGTCACCGTCTTCCTTGTAAACTTATTTTAGGGGTATGAGTGTAGAGGTAGCTCCTTATGACATCACTGCCCACATATAGACCTGTAATAGTTCCCCAGGCACTTGAAAACCATGCCAGTGTCTGGAACTTCTTCAGTGCTCAAACAAAGTTCAGTGTGCAAGCAAAAAGGGGGCCTGTGCTCTCCTGAACGCTGACCTGCCAACAGCGTGCAACATCTTGGGACATTGCTTGGACCCGTAAAGGTAAATATTAGTTAAAAAGGAGACAATAAAGTTTTTTTTTTGTTTGTTTATTTACATTTTTCTTTTACCCACATGCACCAGTGGACTGGTTAAGCCTCTAAAACCAGGTAAGCAGGGAGGGGGTGAACACCTGCTTGCCTACTGTGAGTGGGGAGGTAGGCGGAACATGGGCCACTCCTTACCAGTGGATGGTCAGTTTTTTACTATCTTGGATCTCCACTCATATTTCTGAAAGGGAAATTTGAAGGGTTATTCACAAAAGCGTGAAGAGTTTGGAGAAGGCAGGAGAAGTGAACAATCTAGGACAACATAGCTGAACTAGAAAGTGAGCTGAATTGGAGATTTTTTCCAAATCAGCTATGTTGTCCTAGATCAGTGATGGCGAACCTTGGCACTCCAGCTGTTTTGGAACTACAAGTCCCATGAGGCATTGCAAGGCTCTGACAGCCACAGACATAACTCCCAGAGGCAGATGTATCTTGGGATTTGTAGTTTTGGCACAGCTTGAGTGCCAAGGTTCGCCACCACTGTCCTAGATTGTTCACTTCTCCTGCCATCTCCAAACTCTTCACCCTTTTATGAATAAACCTGTTATTGTCTCTTATTACAATAAGTCATTACTAACTATTCTCCTCTCTTCACCTTCCACCAGTTGGTGTACCACAAGCATTTTTCTTGAACCGTACATTCGGAATCCAATATCAGTTGGATATACTGACATACTGTATATGTCAAATCGTACTTCCTTTTTTTCTGTATTCCTCTCATCTTCTTTATTCCCTTGCTTCTTAGGTTTCTCCTCATTTTCTAATGGGTGGGAAATAGGTCATGCATGGTACACTCGGTTGTTTTCCCTTTGTTTTAACATGAAATTTGTAAGATTTGGCCTTTTAAGAAACAGGAATTAATTGTGAGGTTTTAAAGTTTAGCAGATTGTCCATCAGTAGTCTAACACATGTGTAAAGGAACCAGAGGAAGCCATATTAAACAAAATGGTTGTTTTTTGTAAAAGACTCAGCACTGCTAATTTTCTTGTTAATGACATACACATATTCCTGCTACAGGCATTATATTATGACTTAATTGTTTCTAGCAGTTATGAATTAATAGCCTTCTTTACACTGTCAGCATTATTAAAATTGATTGCATGCCATCTCTGTAGCAAACATAGAATGATTAGTATGTTGTGTTTGTCGCCATATATTGAACTTTAGCTGTGAACAGCTGCTTGATTTAAAAGTGGTATGTATGTGCTATAGCAGATTCACAGCTGTACTAACTATAGATCATTGCTAAGTATGCCCCATTTAAAGTTCAAAATATGCAATATTATTGACCCAATGAGATGTTTATTTAAGTTTTTTTCTATTTATAATGTTTTGTTAAATAAGCATCATATTGCTGATGTGTTTTATTATTGTCATTGATCACTTTTAATACAGTCAGACTAGAAAAAAAAAATGATCTGTTGCTATGGATCACTGCACATTGTTGCTCTTTGTACTGTTTTTGTTACATAAAGGCTCTATGTTTGACATACTTTTTTAGTATAATTGTATTTCTGTGTTTCTGCTGTACATATAGATACCGTTAACCTACAACATGTTCTCTGCAGGTATTCTCCAATGTGATTCAGGAACTGTACGGGATCAGATGCAGATATTCAGACTATTTTGTCATGAGTGCCAAAGGGTCTTTCATGACCGTCTAATCAACAGTGAAGATAAGCAGTATTTCCATACAATGATGTCTGAGATGGCCAGTGAGTTTTCTGTTTACTTGCGAACACTGCAAATATTTATAAACATTAGTTTTGGGAACATAATGTCAAAAACGAATAATAATTGTATTTTTTCAAGTTTGAATGTATTGTAATGCAGAACTGCATTATGGCAACTAGATCAGTGACGTGCAGTACCTCATATTCCGGGTGAGGCATTCCCCCGCCCTGCCCCTGCCGACCGAAGCCACACCCCTGACGAAGCCACGCCCCAGTCGGACAAAGCTGCGCCCCCAACCCCGTCTCCAAGATGGTGTGAAGTAGGAAGGGAGGAGACAGGGAGGAGCCTCCCTGTGTTGTGTTGCTTGCGTTGATGAATGCAGGAATGTAAATGCATGAGCTAACCATTTTTGTCTAAACTGTGAAGCAGCATTATATATGCATCATGTGCATGATTTTTCCATATATGGCATTAGTGAAAATATGCTTTTAGAGACTTTTTGGTTGATAAATACGTTTTGCTGTGTGAAAATCACACGCACCTGGTGCGTGCGTGTGTTTAGGTTAGTAAATCACCCCCATGGTCTCGATTTTAGAATCAGAAAATGACTTGTGGGTATTACACATGTGGAACAAAGATATCAGGTCCCTTTCACCTTATCCGATCAGGAGGGGTTCCACGCATGGATCCCTTCCTGATCAGAGCTGTACGGATCAGATGTCACCAGTGTGGTCCAGTTTTTTCCTCCTTCTTGTGATTAGATCTGGCTACCCATAGACTTACATTGGGCATCCGATCGCATTCGCCTGAAAAAGTGACAGGCGGACCTGATCAGACCGTCTATCTGAAAGGGGCCTAAGACTATAAATTTCAAGAGCTTAGCATAACATAATAAAATATATTGCTTTTAATATCTTAAAAAGGTTTTTGTGTGAATCTGTTTATGTAGCTCCTGAAATGTCCCAGTCTCTAATTTTGTTGTGTTTATACTGTATATCTGATTGGGATATGGATTGGTTGACCCATGGTGGCATTTTATTATGCCTATTATTCACATATGGTATATTTAACATACAAAAAGAAAGCAAATTACAGAAGTTTATTGTTCGGACATTCACTTTAAAGTAGTACTAAAGGCTGTTCGTTTTTTTTACCTTAATGCATTGTCTGCATTAAGGTAAAAAACGTCCATTACCTTTTTGCGTCCCATGTCCCCCCTAACTTACTTGTGCACACCACTGTCACCGCTGCTGGTCCCTGAAGTGTTCCTACGCTCCCTGAACTTCCTGGTTGCGGGGGAGGATACTGAGGGCAGAGGCTCCTTCTACCGTCACACGCTTTCTCTCCTTTAGATTGACCATATGGCTAAAGAGACCCTTTTACCTGGGCCAGTCCGTGTAAAGTGGTAGGGTCTTTTTCAGTCCCCATTCACACGTCCCGCCTTTTGTCGCTCAAAAGTGCGACAAAATGCTCAAGATAAGGAGTGTCATTAATTGAAACTGTTGGGAGGAGAGGCATGGCCTGCCACACGCTGTGTGTCCATGCATGCACACAGCTACTTGCGGGAACGGCTGCGAATGTGCACGCACGGGTGTCTCCACAGCAGCGGCTTAGCTGATGGAGACACCCATGCATTGGGGGAGGAAGAGCGATGCGGGGACCCAGTAGAAAATGAGGAATTAAAACATTTAAAAAAATGTAATATCACTTTAACTCTCCATCTACATTGTAGGATGATCATGACAAAAATGATCATTTACACCATGGCAATCATATGGCACATCTACATGTGGACAAGATTTAATATTTCCTTTCAAAACTATATGGAGTTTCATTTATTATTAAGGGGCTAAAATTACTAAGCTCTGTTGATCCCTATTTGCCACAACCATTATTTTTATTTTATGATACCCAGTGAGAGCTGAATATAACAGTCGCATGGCAGAAAATAATGAATATAATGGCAAATATAAAATGAATTTAGCCGAATGTCTCTGTTGCCTTTTTAGATCTCCATTTTTAAATCTAAATTTAAAAAAACAGAATTGAATTGGAATCTAATTGGTTTGCTGTAAAAACACAGACAGTTCTTTGATCAGGATTATTGAGACCAAAGATGTGCAAAAACAATGTTGTCTACTAGATCTACCAGTCATCCTGTCATTATTTGCTTTTTTTTCCAGGTAAACACTTTGGAGTTCAGATTGAGCCAGAATACTTTGTTACAAAGCCCATCATTTTTGGTGATTTTATTAAGGTAACTATAAAGAGCTATGGCTTTTGTAAACATTTCCCAGCTAAACACAATGTACTGTAGCCACAGAAAAACATCTATCCCGACACAGTACATATGTTTACAGAGAGACCCTGCAGTGACAGAATGACAGGCTTTTAGGTCATGTGATTTTCATACCATGACAAAAATGTCAGCTATGGCAAGCTATTAATCACATATGTCTAGTGGGAGCGGATCACCCAGAAATGTATGTCGAATAAAACAGCTATTTATTTTTTACTTGATGCTTTCAGACTGAAGCTATGTTAAACTGAGTTCATGATGTTTAAAAATGCTAGATGAAGCGTTTTTTTTTTACTGAATTTTGCTTGTTTTTTGGGCAAACTGCAGTAAAACATAAATTACATTTTCTCTTATAAATGCAATAAATATGACATAGATAGTCTAACTGTGATGACAGTTGAATGTTAGTAGACTAAAGCTATATCACTGCCAATACATAGGTGGTTTGGGGCTCATTTGTCAAACTTTGAAATAATGTTTGAAATAATGTTGTACAGTCCCATGGCAACCAATATGATTCAAGCATTTATTCCGCAACTTACAATGCAGATTTGAATCTGACTGCTAACTATGGGTAATCTCAAGAACAATGGTACATGTATAAAGTGGCATTTTCACCCCTTGTCAGTAAAAATAAAATGTATAAACATTTCCAGCTTGTGTGGCTTTAACTTTGCCTATAGACCAGTTTTGGCTAGTTCTTTCCTTGAGTGCTTTAGCAGAGCCACATTACTAGGTGTTTTCTAATCATGCAACCGTTAATTTGTGTGATGCTTATATGTTCCCTCTCCTAGCAGAGTATGAATATGATATATTAGTGATAAAGGCTCTAGGCTGATGAAGAGGAACTTCTGTTTGGATACTAGGCATTACTAGACATTACCACACATATCTCTGTATATTACCCTATTAATGGTGGTTAGTAAATCAGTTTGCCTGGGCTTGAATTATCTGAAAATTAGGCTGATATGGAGCAGTCAGACATTAACTGTGTTGCACTGATGTGGTCTGGTGGGCAAATGAGTTCATTCTGTAAACCAGTTCACTTTCTACTTGCAAGGCAAGGCCTCGGCACTCACCTGCTCTTGCTAAGCATGGATCCACATCTATTCCAACTAGCGTCTGTCCAACAAGTGAATGGACAAATAGTTTGGCATGACTTATACTGATGACATAATGCATGATCTTAATAGTACCCATATTTTTTGGCTTTACTAAGCGTAAGGGTATCAGTGTCATGGTGACACTAATAAGTCTGTGTGCTACATTTTTAATATAAGTCTTGTTCACTGTGGAACGGTGGGGGAACTGCAAAAATCCTTTGTGAAGTGGGTGTAAGGAGTAACTGTGTCTTTGAATATAGCACAGGATATGGACGGGTACTGATAAGGTTAACAGATGATCATTTTACCAATTAATTTAATGCTGGTCATATGCAGTGGATAATAAAACTTGCAAAGCAGATCACAGGTTTGGAAACACTAGAATGCCATCAGTAGTTATAAATCAAGCTAAAAATGTTACTTTGGTTATTTCTATAATTTGTCAAAATCAAAAATGACCGCATCAAGTGTCCTCTATTATGATATAGCGTGTATATATTTAGATTTCTGATAGCAAGAACAAACATGGCGCATACATTTCCAGATAAGCTGATACAAAATGGCAAAACCTGCCATTCTATCGAAATATTTTGGCTGATGCTAACATTTCCACTGTTTAAGGCATTTGAATCTTGAACTGTTGTCATCAAAAAACTCTGGTTTTAGGTTGCAGCTGACAAGGCTGAAAGAGTTTATGAAGACCTGACTGACATGGAAAAGATTCGATCAGTTTTGCAGGATTATCTAGATGACCACAACATGACCAATGCTAAAGATGTCAAACTGGTGTTTTTCCAGGATGCAGTAGAGCATGTGTCCAGGTACAGCCCAGAAAGTAAAATATGCTGTTGTGTTCCATTTACATGTATCGTCCACATCTGTCATCCGTATTTAGTATTTTTCCATTGCACTTTACATAGCTTTGGGCAGATTGGTTTGTCCATTTTGGTATTCATAGTGAATTTTAATGAACCTTAGTGATTGATTTTTTTGTTTCTGTGGTTTATCACCAGGCAAACCAGTCAACTTTGTTAATTGGAAAAGGGGCCCTTCAGATCTCTTACAAGCTCATATGGAGTTACTCTATACTTAAATTCATCCGGTCTCCTTCAAAGCTAACCTCAGGGAAGCTAGTAAGGACTCCAGCAGGCACCTTCCGGAGTTTTTTTCCTTTTGTTATTTATTAAAAAGTTTTTTTCCGCCAACAAATACATATACAATAAAAAAAAAACACATACAAAAGAAGACAAAAATACCAAACTAAACCTACTTTTACATATTTAAAACATTACACACTCTAATCTATACCATGATGTTAAAAAAATAAAATAGAATATTACAAAATAATTATTTAACATTCCCAAGCTTGTAGAATTCTTCATATTCACACCAATTCAGTACCAAACCTGATACCTGAAGCCATTACACCCAAGTCTTTTGAAATTTGTTTACAGCTCCCCTTTGTTTAAAAGTCAATTGTTAATTTGAGTTTGGCTGCTGATATCTATTCCTGACGGTGGATATGGCAAAATCAACTTTTGAGCAGTCAGTTTTTTTCGCCAGAAACAATGCTTTGCTAATCCCACACTCTCAAATGAACTTTAGTTTTTAGAACCTCTTAAGTGCCACAAAATGCACATATATAGATTACATACATCAAGGGTAGCCAAACTCCGGCCCTCCAGCTGTGGTGGAACTACAAATCCCATGAGGCATTGCAAGATTCTCACAGCCACAGACATGACTCCCGGAGAGAGATGCATCATGGGATTTGTATTTTCACCACAGCTGGAGGACCGGAGTTTGGCTACCCCTGACATACATCATTTGCTTTTAACAACAGCATTAATATGTTCAGTATTTCAGAGTTTACTTTGTGCTAAACAGATTATATCAGTAGGGCGGTACTAATATGGAATTTAGTACAGCACATTTTGTCACATTTTCTTATCTTTAACTGTCAATTTTAATAGAGCTTGTGTTTTACAAGTGTACTAGAAGACCACCCAAGGCATGTCAATCAGTTGGCAGCTCCTTAAATGTATATCCTTAGCTTGGGGTACCAATACTAAGTGGACTGGGTTTTCAAACCTGTCTAATCATTGTTGTCTGCAGTTGCCCTTAAATATATGGCCAGCTGTAGTTTGGGCACAGACTGATGTTCTTCCAAGGCTATTACAGGCCAGATCAAATATATTGGGCCTGAGGTAACGGGCTATTATTAAAGGAGAACTATGGGGTTAAGGCTTTTCCCCATAGTTCACCTTAGGGTAACCGGAGGACACAAACTAGCGTCCTCCCGTCACCCTAGGCTCAGTATACCGCGAGCTGCTGCTTGCGGTATACTGAGACGCCGCAGCTGAAGCGGATCCCGACAATTATGCCGGGATCCGCCCAGCTGCGTGACTGACAGCTGGCTCTGCCTATCTAGAGGCAGAGCCAGCTGTACCCACCCTCTCCCACCGTCCATTCCGCCAGTCAGCGCTGGCGGATCGGAGCGGGGAGGGGAGAATCCAGCCCCTCCCCTGTCGTGGCAGAGAGCCGTGACAGGATCGAGAGGTGAGCGAAAGCCGGTATGTGTTCGCTCACCTCCCGATCTACTGAGCCGACCTGTGACAGTCTCATTGTCACAGGTCGGCTAGAACTATGAGGTGAGTGAAAAGCACTCACCTCATAGTTCTCCTTTAACTTCAGGAATGCATCTATCCATATACAAATCTATGGGAATGTAAATGCAGCTTGAAGCAGGTCAACTGCCGATTAAATTTACCTTCAATGAATTGTGAATGATTTTAGAAATAACTGATGTCAAATGCACAGTACACTTGCAGCCCAAAGCTTGTTGAAACTAGCTCTAAATCTATCTATGTGTTCTGCCATTTCTTTAAGGACTTCTACAAAGTCTGTGTTCTTGAATAACCAGGATGGAAGCATTTTTTTTTTAAAATAAATGCTGAAACCATTTGGAAAAAAAGCTAGTTTCTTTCTGTTTGCACATAGGATTGCACGCATGATTCGACAGGAAAGAGGAAATGCTCTTCTGGTTGGTGTTGGTGGAACTGGTAAACAATCTTTGACCAGGCTTGCAGCTCACATGTGTGGATATAAGTGCTTCCAGATAGAGCTGAGCCGTGGATACAATTACGACTCTTTCCATGAAGATCTCAGAAAGCTGTATAAAATGGCTGGGGTGGAAGACAAAGACATGGTTTTTCTCTTTACAGACACTCAGGTAAAATAGGTAAAATGCTGTGTACATTTATGACAGTTTCAGAAACACTTCACACTGTAAAATCCTTATTTAACTGTAAGTGCAATAAAGCAGCATGTACACTGACAGTGAAGCAGGCCTTGCATTCATAACAAGCTGGTAATATGCTGCATTTAATATTTAAATAATCGTATAAACTCTTAATATTCTGAGCCTCTTATGCACTGATATTGAATCCAATGCCACAGTTGTTTTACATATTGTCAAAGTTGACATGAAGTTTTTGATATATTGATATAAATTAAAAAAATAAACAAAAAAGCGATACAACATTTGTGCCGAGATGAGTCTTTTAATAGCTGGCTGAAAAACATTTTTCTGTAAATACTTTGTGCAATACAAATTAAAAAAATAAACACCTTCCTAAAACCCCTTCTGTAATTAGTGCACGACGGCACATGCTTTCTTAAAAATTACATATAAATTATTGAATACTTAAACCATTCAGAAGACAGTGTCAGCCCTGGATCCTGTCTACAGGTTAAACATTAAAGATAATCCTGTGCATAATCACAGGACACTGCTGGGCTTATTTAAAATGAAAAGAATGATGTTCAAAGTAATGCAAAGCAACCAGTGAGAATGACCCTTTTACTGATGTGACCGCTATAAGCCAACGTCTGATCGTAAGCTATGGCTCAGCCAGTTGCATTTCGTTATTACTCTCTGCACTCCATTTAAAAAAGCCTGGCTGTTTTCTCCAGCACTGAATATATTTTGGTGTGGGGATTAAGGGGCATAGTGGAAAAATTGCTGCTTTGTGTTTCTCACTAAATGTGTCTAAAACCTATAGATCGTTGTTGAAGAGTTCCTTGAAGACATAAATAACATGCTTAATTCTGGGGAGGTACCAAATTTGTTTGAGAAGGAGGAGCTGGAGTTTGTATTGGCAGCAACTAGACCAAAGGCAAAGGAGGCAGGAATACCTGAAGGAAACAGAGATGAGGTAACCAGCTTTGAAAATGCTTGCTTGTCATCAGTGACTCACTGTTGGAGTAGCAGATACTTGTACTATGGCACTGAGAGGACATAACGACTGTTTGTTTTATCTTTGTTGCACTAATGGAAGTATGCTTATTAGCTTTAACAGGCTTTCATGCTCACAAGTTTATTATATTTGTGTCTATAATATTTAATATGTAGTTGTTGTTTTGCCCCAAGGCCCAGAGCAGTTAATCTACCCCCGTGTTTTCCTTGTGATTTCCAGTATGTATATGAGAAACAGAAACTCTGGGCTAGAACTATAAAATGATACACTATCACTGACCTTTTGTGTTAGCATAGACAGCAATCGTTTGGAGCATATTGCCAAGTTGAAATAACAAAAGCAGATATGCACTCAGATAGACATTGTACTATCATCTTTGTTGAGTTGTGTAGGGTCACAAACCATAGGGGATTATAAGGGTTTCTGGAGGGGTGTAAATGACCATCCAAGAGAGATAGGTAAAGGAAATCTCAAAATGTATTACTGTTACATACTGGTATAAATACATACATGATTCAAAACAACCATAATAAATAAATAAATAAAACGGAACCCTGCAGAGGATGTGTTTGTATATTCATTAATTATATAGCTCTAAAATGCATTTGGTCCGACATATCGTAATGTTATTCAATATTGTCCAGATATGGATAATCCCCTATGGTTTGTGAAATTATGTAATTAGGGGGAGAGGTGTAAAACTAGGTGCCTACAGGGAGACTACCCATAATTTAGTAGAGTTGTGTAGGGTGTCTAAATATTACTGTGCACTCCAACAGGCACCAGTGTAGACCTACTATACTCAGCAATCAGTGCTCAGTAACAGCCCTGGTATGACACACTCCATCTCTCACTCTTTAAACAAGTATATGTGAGGACAATTATGATTTGGTTGTGTGGCTGCTATTCAGCCATCTCCCACCAAAAAGCACTTGAGAGAAAGTCAAGAAGAAGCATTTTGCATGAGCAAGAAAGAATATTGGGAGATGTAATAGTTCAGATGTGGTCTATCAAGTAGGCACATGCGACTTTATTATGTAAAGAGTTATGTTTTTTTTGCCCATACCCCTTCACTAATAGTTACCTTCTCTGTGCTCCCTTGTCAACCTATTTCCCTGCCAGAGTTTAATGCCCTGTTCAAGCTCCATGTTGGTTTGTATCAGAGTTGACACTGTGCTAATGACCTTTATTTGCCCCCACGTGGCAGTGCTCATGGCCAGTGCATTGGCCACACAGATGCTAAGCATTGCATTGTGTGAGGAAAGGAAGAAGGTCACATACACAGTATTAGCTGTTAAGGGCTTCAGCATACAAAAGGTGGAGTTTCACATAGGTATCAGCAGATGGAACCCATCACTTTGCTATGAATGGGCAAAGTGACAGGTGTGCAGAACCAATTAAAATACATTATACTAAATTCAGACCAGTAAATGATAGATTGTTAATAGTTGCTATGCACTTATACAGTTTTTTTTAATAGGGTTGAAAATCATTTTATGTAGCAGTGTACTTTCTGTTTGCTTACTTTTCTGTTTACATACTAGGTGTTTCAGTATTTTATCAATCGGGTACGACAGAAACTGCATATTGTTCTATGCATGAGTCCTGTTGGAGAGGCCTTTAGAGCAAGATGCCGCATGTTTCCATCACTAGTTAACTGCTGCACAATAGACTGGTTTGTACAGGTTAGTAGATTCAGCATATAACAATCTTACAATTTTAACATGGTATGTGCATATATGCTATAGGGGGGGCCTAAAGGTCTACATGCACCATGAAGCACAGTGTTCATTTCATCATCAAGTTTGAATATTGTTTCACTAATATAATTTCCCAAAAGTAAATGTGTAAAGTTAAAATGTACTGACATGTCAATATTTTTAATGTGTACCATGTAGTGTCTTGTGATGGAAATGTATTTCCTTTTCCCAAAAATTGTTCCCAGACATGGTCAATAGTATTACATTTTAATTATTTTGATGGAAACCCATGCAAGGCAACAAAGCCAACTGTGTGCTCTGCCTTCGTCTTTAAGTAAACCTGATCAGTTTCAGTACACATTTAGGATGATTTTGTTGCTGGAAAATGATTTCTTTTTAACACAGTTTTATGATGGGATTTCTCTGCCGAATAAGTGTGCTTCTCTTTGGTCAATGTTAAAGTGACAGTAAACTCAGGAGTTAAATCTTAAAAATGCATTTAAGTACCCTATTTACAAAAATTTATCTTATTTGTGCATTACTCAGCTGTAGATCCTCAAATTATTTCTGAATTGGTGCTGACAATGTCCTTCCTTCTGGACAGTGGCTCCTTTTGGCTCCCTATGGTCCCTGTGTGTGTTGTAAAGTAGCCACCGCTCCAAGCTCACTACTGCAATAAGAATTTGTAAACTTGTGAGATTGCAGTCCATCACAGGAGTGAGCTTGGAGTAGTGACTGCTTTACAACACACACAGGGAGCATGGGGAGCAAAAGTAGCCACCCACCAGAAGGAAGGTCAGTGTCAGCACAAATACAGAGATGATTTGAGGATCTACAGCTGAGTGATACACAAATATGCTACATTTTTGGAAATGTTTAGGGTGCTTAAGTGTATTTTGAAGGTCTAACTTCTGAGTTTAGTGTCACATTAAGTTGATCCTGTTCAGCTCTCTAAATTCAGAATAGGCAAAACACCCTCACAGTCGTAGGTGTAAATAGGGGAGAACTACCCCAGCACAAAACTGCAGTTAAACTGAACGTTTCTAAGGAAAATAAATTATGTATGCTTAAGAGATTTTCATGAACCACAAACTATGTGACATCTAGCAGATCCTCATGACATCAAACTTTTTTTGTGTGCAAATAACATTCAGCAAATAAACATGGTTTATACACTTGAAGAAAATTACACCTACACCACCAGTTTTGAAGGGTATATACAGTGTTCTTTTGTTGACCTTTATTTGGACCCCCCTTAAAAAAGGTTGATGTCACAAACTGAGCAATTTAGTTAGCATATGAGGAAAGAAGTAAGTAGGGGTTACCTTCAATAAAAAATGTCATGTCAAAATAATTAGTAGATCCAGAGATATAGATAACCCAAGTGATATCACATCAGATCTCAACTTTGCCTATAAAAGTCAAACTCAACCCTACACATCACACTTTTCCCAATTGGTGGCATTTTTTTCATCATGTGCTCCGGTTCCAATGTTTACTTGTGACACGTAAACTTTAACCTCTCTTGTAACCATCCACTCTCATATTTCTTTCGTTTTGATGGTTAACTCCAAATTTATCTATATAAATCTGTACAGCAATTTCTTCAAATCTTCAAGAGATAGGTTTGTTATGGTTTGGCCCATACTAAAACTTAACTTTTGCACATGCTTTGTTTGTGAAGTGGTTTGATTGCTCCCATGATGACTGCATTTGCTCAGTTGTCTGTTGACTCTAACTAACCAAGACAGGGCATTCTTGGTTCAGGTGGCTTTAAATGTTGGATGCAGATGTTATTCTATTGAAGTTAGTGTGATGAAGGGTTTTCAGATACTGTACTGTGAAAGCTTTAGATCTTGCTTTGAATGAAAGTGCATGGTCTATGGAAATCTCTTAAACATGCATTGTATATTGTCCTTAGAAACTTTAGTTTAGCTGCATTTTGGAGAACTATTTGGCCTTAGTTTGCTTTACTAAGCTCCTCTGGCATTATTAAAGCAAGAAATTATTTAAAAAATTTCAGTATTTCAATGTTTTTCTCACAGCAGCAACACTAATTCTGTGGACTATATTGATTCACTAGGTACTGGTTCATACTATTTATAAAAAAAAAGTTAATGTGTTGCCATTTGAATTAATTTATCACACTCAGCTCCTGGCAACCAGTGACATCACTGGTTGCCAAGAGCTGGACGGGAGGCCCGCCAGAGCATCCCAGGTTACTAATCTCCAGGTCCCACACACACATTTTCAAGCTTGTGTTTAAGCAGCCAATGGCCATCCAGAGTGCTGTCACGTGGGGGTCAGTGGAAAGAAGGGGGGTGGGAGCCTGACTCTATACTAATATTGACTTTTAGAAAATTGGTATTTGCATGTAATCTGCAATGAGATCAAGCGGTAGAAATAAATCCACTGTCAGTTTTTCCTTCACTCCCTGTCCTGTAGACGCAACAACAGGAAGAGAGAGGCTATCTTTCCAAAGTGAGGGGAATCCCCTCTTATACAGTTATCATAGGAGCAAGTATCCACATTGGAAGAGTTCCCCCCTTTTCCTGTTCTATTGGTAACTTAATCATTTTAGATCTACAGTACTTTTATTCCAGTTGACATGGCGGATCAGGACAATTTGAGAGAACAGATTTCCCAAACAGGGACACATAGTAATAAAAATCTGAAATCTGACAGCAGTTCTAACCCCTCACCACTCAAATCCCAAAAAAGTTTTACATTTATATATACTTTAAGCATATATATCTGGATCATCCCCAGCTTGCTTAAACCTTCCTTTTTATAGATGCAAAGGAATTATGACCAATCTTATTTACAGTGCAATGTTAGTATGTATATTATCATTATTGTGGAAGAATAATTATAAAAATATACTGTATATCTGTTCGAAAAGTTAGCCAAGTTGTTGAAATAATCTTCTCATAATACAATTACTTTAATGCTAATGTTTCTTTGATAGCTCCTATCTTACCGCAAACTCTTCTAATCTGTAAAATTGAGTTACTAATTAATGTTATCAGTAAAGTATTAGACTCCATGAACAGCACTACATGGAAATAACCTTTAAATCTATATTACCCCAGAGAGTTTGTTCTGAAAAAATATCACGTATTTCAATATTCAAGTTGTAATTCTGAAAACCAAATCTCTATTGAAAGGAATGAAAGAATGTGTTTGATTTGAGTTGCTTTTATATGGTTATTAGAAAATGCCCAGGGAAAGATTTTTTTTCATGTAAAGTAAAATCTTTGAATCACCTCCAGTATAATGCTTATAGCACTTTTTCCTTTGGTTTGACTTTCAGTGGCCCAGAGAAGCCCTCCTCTCTGTATCACAAACCTTCTTTATCAACATTGACCTTGGCAGCGACGAGATTAAGGAGAGACTCTCTGAAATGTGTGTGGAGATCCACATGAGTGTCACTGAAATGGCGGAACGCTACTATGCAGAGCTGAGAAGAAGATACTACACCACTCCCACCTCTTATTTAGAGTTAATTAACCTTTATCTGTCAATGCTGGGTGAGAAAAGGAAGCAACTGGTGTCGGTAAGGTCTAAGTAACAAAATGATTTATCTGTGTGTCTGTAAACTATAATTATGTGTGATTACGGCTATTCATACAATAAAAAATGAGAGAAATGTCTAAAACTATCCATTCATTTTTAGATTTCTCTCATCCAGCCTTGCTAAACAGCGTGGATGGAGCAATCTCCCCTGCTGGCTTTTGTATTCAGCAGTCAGGCACCTGCGGATGCTGTTACCTGAACAGTGACTGCATCTGATTGGCTGATTGGTCACTGATCAGTCAACAATTTGCCACCTGTCTCCTTCTACAAAGACTCATGTTAAGCCTGATGTTGTCGACAGGGCCACCCACAGCTCCAGTTCCAGCAGTGTGTAGCCATCTTTATAGGGCTCCCTATTGTATTGTGAAGGCATGATACTAGGCGCTCCCTCCCTGATGTGTTCTGACAGTATAAGAGACACAGGCTAACACAGCTCTGTACTAATTGATACTTCATAAAATGTATTTTTTTAAATGCTTACTTAAATTTGATTTGCCATTAATCTCTTCTAACCCCCTGTATAGCAGCACCTGCATCAGGAAAGGGGGAAGCAGCATAGAGCATTAATCAGTTGTGCACTAGCAAAACTTTAATGTTTTGGTGCACAAAGCAGATTTCCAACATAAAATGTTATATTATTTAAAGCTGACCTCTGCTAAAAATGTTTTTTGGGCCATACAGCATCAGTCTTATTATGTACCTCTAATTAAGTTTATTCTCTGCCCTTCCTGCCCCCTAATCTATTCACATTTCTAGTATTATGTTCCCAGAGTGCAAGGCCCTCTGTGAATGTGCAGGGGAGATCATGTCTTTCATACATCCCTCCCTCACCCTACATTCTGGTAAATATTACTAGGAGTTTTGTGAATGGACGAAAGGACAATTGTTCAGTCACAGCTGCAGCCTCTTCTGCCTGCAGTGTCATACGATCACTGCTATGGGGAATATCCAGCATCACTGAGGGGAGCATTATAACACTAACCAGCAGCCAGCAGATCACAGGGGATTCAGTGGCGTAACAACCGGGGGTGCAGCAGGGGCGCGGGCCCCGGGTGAAAAGTGAAGGGGGGGCGCCGGCCGAAAATGGCACTTTCGGCTAAATGCCGAAAGTGACATTTTCCTGCCGTTTTGTCGGCGCGGCCGTGATTCCTTTCATCCCCGCTGGGACACAGAGCAGTGCCCAGCAGGGATGAAAGGAATCGGAGAGAAAATGACAGCCGGCCGAGCGCTGCGGGACGAGCGCTGTGAGCGGCCGGTGTCTCTCCTCCCACACCGCTCGGCCGCCTATCACAGTGCAGCAGAGCGGTGAGGGGGCGGAGACAGCCAGCGCTGTCACAGGAGGCTGGGCTCTCCTCTTGCAGCCTCCTATGACAGTGTGTGTCAGAGAGGAGAACGGGTACAAGCACTCAGTGATCAGTGATCGCTGAGTGTTTGTACATAATTGAGGACCTGGTATGTAAACTATATCCTCAATTATGAATGAATGGGAGTGATCTATATCCCCTCCTGTTCATTCATAATTGTAGTTATAGTAAACATACCATGTTATCAATGAACAGGAACACTCATAAAGGATTCCTGTTCATTGATAACAGGGGACACAGAAAAAGAGATTGAGGACTCTGTGTCCTCAATCTCTTTTTCTATTTTTAAAGGGAAATATCAGGGGTCTGTTTAGACCCCCAATATTTCCCCGAAGCCCCTAAAAGTAAAGTAAAAAATAAAAATATTTAATAAAAAATTAATTAATAAATAAAAATTGATTTAAAAAAATGAAAAAGTTTCAAAAAAAATAAAATATTAAAATTTGAAAAATTAAAATAAAAACATGTGTGTGTGGGGGGGAGGTGCAGGGTACAGTTCCAGTGGTTGTTTATATAATGGGGGGGGGGCGGGCGAAAAAAAAATTCTGCCCCGGGCGCCCAGAACTCTGGTTACGCCACTGAGGGGATTAACATCATTAGAAGTACATGGTACATGGTTAGGACTTGACTTGAGCTTTAAAATCTGTTTTATTACAGGTCATTTTATGCAAATTTAATAATAGGATGATTAAATATTACTCATGTAGCCAGGCCCTCATGTTGGCTAATCACATGGCATTTTTGTGGCAATTTTGGTATCTTTTCAATAGCTTTTATTTGAAAAATTATTGCTTGCAGTTTAGTGGTCCAAAGCAATCTGTTACTTAGAGTTTTGCTCATTTTCAGATTTTAAGCTGGACTTTCCCTTTAATCATAAACATTACAACCAGTGGGTTAGCATGCTCTTTTTGCATATGAAAATCGTAATGCACATTTTAGGGTTTTTTTAATTATGCATTTCACTAATCTATCTGTCTGGCATCTTTTATTTATAGGTAGTATTTATAATGTTTTTTTTTTCCAGTTAACTAACCATTTATACCCAAGAGTAATTCTGGCCCATCTGTTTCTCCTCCCAGAGCTGAGTATGTGTAATTGAAACACAGTATAAAATCTCAATAAGTAGGACAAGACTGCAGACATTTGTGTGAATAAAGAGCATTTGAATTTGACTCTATTTTCTGATTGTTTCATCTGCAAATATGTAAAAAGAGTGCTTTCACTAATGTCTAATCACTACATGCTTCGCATGTGATACTCAGGTGTTGTTGACCTAAACACAGCCAGGATATAAAACTCAATAGACCTAATATAGTTATCCAATAATATTTTATTATTTTGTCACTGAAACATGAAATTGGGCAGATTGCTATATGTTGCTGCATTTTGGATATTATCATTGTGGTTTGTGTTGTATTAAAAAACAAACAAACTTTAACTGCACCTTAGATGCAGTTACACTTATATTGTACTGGCCCCCAGCCCCCAGGCCCTCTGCAATTCTTTTACTCATCTATCCTTGATCCAGTAAGATATCGTCTGCAAAGCTCAATTTTAAAACTTCTTAACCAGGCCATGCATGCTTAGTGATTCTCTATTTTATCCTATAGATAGTTTATACTTTATGCTTGAGTGCAGTACAAACCTAGGGTTGAGGCTTGATTCATACCAAATGTGTTGGGGCTGCGCTCGCTGCTTTTTTCATGGCAGCCCCAATGCTAGAAAAGGCAATTTGCTTTGTCACGAATGGGCTCAGTTTACATGCATGCATTACTTTTTTGCAGTGCAGTGGGCCCCGACGTGGCACCACTGTGCCCATAGAACTTAATGAAACGTCACTCGAAAAGGGAAAACTTTTTTGTCCCAACTGGGAAGATGCACTCCTCTTTTGGCCCTGGTAACCATTATCACTGAGGCAGAAAGTGTCGGGAAAACCAAAACTTTAGAATTGTTACATGAGTGAGAGCAAGAGGGGGAAAAAAAAAATCATCCAATGGGGAAAAAGTTCTGGTGACACCTAAGATGGGAATTCCCTTCTCTTTTGGGAGATTTCCTCTTATATTCTGTTGTGTCTCCAGGACAGGAAGTGAAGGTGCATTTTTCCAATGGGACACAGACAGCAGAAATTAACGTGATAGGGGTTTTAAACAAACTATTTTGACTATACATACACTTTAACACTGTGTGCACTTATGTTATCAGTATTGAAATGTTGTGGGATATAGCTGTACTGTTTTACAGTGATTTCCAAATTTTATTATCAGACAGACAAGTTTCTGTCTTTTGCAGCTGTAATTTATAATGCCATTTTTTTTATTATATCTCTTGTAGGCACGTGACCGGGTAAAGAATGGATTAAGTAAGCTATGGGAAACAAACATCCTTGTTGATAAAATGAAAATCGATCTGTCAGCCTTAGAACCTGTGCTTAAACAGAAATCTATTGACGTTGAAGCCCTAATGGAGAAACTGTCAGTAGACCAAGAAAATGCAGATCAGGTAAGGATTGCTAGAAGTCAGTGCTGAGTTCAGGCTTTCTGCCAATGTTTGCTTAACAGTACTGTAAATTATGAATAAAGACTGTAAGTAGATTAATTAAACAAAAAAAAAAAGCTACAGTCTGTTAAATATACAGCTTATCAACAAAGAGAACATTTCAAAGATAGGGCTCCACTGTACTCTTTTGCTATGACGTCCCAGTGATCATAGTTCATGCTCCCCAAAAAATATAAATGTACAAGGCAAAACAGAAATAAAACAGTGGAAAGTACAGGTTAGCAAATGGACACGGAATACAGGAGATATATACAGGGGGCTGGAGGACGAGACAGGGACTTAGGGTTTGATACACACTAAAAAGTCCAGGTAAGGTGAGGCAAGGGGGTTTGTAAGAAACAAGACAGAATGAGCACTATAAAGCCAAAGCAAGGACAAGGCAACATAGGACATGGCTAGGTGCAGGACCAAAAAAGCTAATGTCCTGTGGGTGAACAATATAGCAGGAAGCTCTGTAGAGAATTGATGTCCTTTAATAACTTCAGAAACTAGAATATAATACATACGGAGACAGAGTTAGAGTAGCCACTGAAAGGGAAAGAATGTAAAAATTTAGAAAGAGTAGATAACACATCAACCGAACATACCTAGTCACTTTTGTCCTTACTACACGGCCAGTTATTTAAGCTAAGCAGGTTTTTATAGAAAAGCTGTATAGAAAATCAAGTCAATGGTTTGCTTTAGAAATAGAGGATGGGGTTAGGGTTTTAAGTAAGGGTTTGGATACACGTCTTCTGCAGAAAATGTGAAAGCCGCACAGCCGCGCCAAGGCACCTCTTATAGTGCGGTCCTAACTCTAAACTATAAGAGCCTCCATCTTGGAGCACATAGGGCAGAAGATAAAATTGGGTGCAGGTTTGTCAGGAGGAAGCCCAACCCCCTTAAAGGCACAGAGAGACGCACAAGGGATCCCGCACATCCCAATGGCAGCTGAGACCCCCCATGCGTCACTGCACTGAAACAGTCAAGCAAAACAGATGACAAACGCCCTCATCAATTTGTCACCAGCTTTACAGTAAGGTGCACACAGAATGGGCTTTAAACAGTAAAATAGCAAAAAGTTTTCCTGGCACACTCACAAGCTAGCATGTAAAAAAACTTGTCTCACACTAAGGTTAAAAACAGAGGTTTAGATACACATCTTCTGCAGAAAATGTGAAAGTCGCACAGCCGCGCCAAGGCACCTCTTATAGTGCGGTTCTAACTCTAAACTACCAGAGCCTCCATCTTGGATAAAATTGGGTGCAGGTTTGTCAGGAGGTAGCCCAACCCCCTTTTGCTATTTTACTGTTTAAAGCCCATTCCGTGTGCACCTTACTGTAAAGCTGGTGACGAATTGATGAGTGCGTTTGTCATCTGTTTTGCTTACCTGCAAATATGTCTAGGATTTCTCTAAGGACTTTACAGTTGATATATTAAATAATTTGGGAACTACAGATTGAGCAATCGAAGGGGTGTAAAAATATGATTTTACAGGGTCAATCCACACAAAAATTATAATTCAGTTGAGGTACAGATACTTCCTCAGCTGAGGAAGCCACGTGGATAAGTGGCAAAATGTCTTCAACATTACAGAACAAGTCCAGTTGATTGTGCCTAACTACTAACAGCTGTACCATGACCTGGAAAAAGCAAAAACCTTTACAGACATATTCCATACTGTAGTATTTGCAAACCGCTGTACTATCTATATTTGCAGGTGCGACGAATAGTAAAAGAAGATGAAGCAATTGCAAAAGTTAAAGCAGAAGAGACCCAGGCGATTGCTGATGATGCCCAGAAAGACCTCGACGAAGCTATGCCTGCCCTAGACGCAGCCAATAAAGCTCTTGATTCTTTGGATAAAGCAGACATATCTGAAATCAGAGTGTTTACTAGTCCCCCAGATTTGGTCATGACAGTTATGGAAGCCATATCCATTCTACTTAATGCAAAGTAAGGAATACATTGCCATTCATTGCCTAGATGTAATCTAATATGAATAATAATACAATCTGGTGATGCAGAAAATTATTTATTTATTTTTTTGGCTCTTATTTTTTAACAAGAAGTTTACACTAATGAAGTTTCATTAATGTAAAATATTTAGATGAATTTGTATGTTTTTTATTATAGTTTGAAGGATTCACTGAACAACCATAGCAGCCCATTATGGACACTTCTCTAGTGATGTTACTGCTCAGGCTCAGGTTTCTATACATATAGTTCAGCAAGTAGCACTGCCTGGGCATAACTCCTCATTGGTTTACAATAGTCATTTGGTCCTATAATTTTCTCAGTGTTAGGAACATGCATTTTTCGTTTTGCCTACTGTTGTTATTATAATATCCATGAAAATTAGTACTATTCTAGCTTCATTATAAAAGTGTCTTTAATTTGTTAATTATACCTGATCCTCTGATCACCTTTTTATACCTGAGAAGACTGTATATAGGCTTCTGTTGTGACAGCTGTTACATTGCAAAGTAGTAGCAAAAAAAACAGGGTGGCGCATGGCACCAGGACTGGGCTGTTATACCATATAGCATAAAACTCTGGTCTCCAGGACACCCGACACTTGTAAAAGTCAATCATTACAAAATGATTGGGTAAAACGACTTTACCCCTGTTCTATATTTATGTAATAAATATGGGCATTCTTAGATGTCCCTGTGTGCCATATTTGGTATGCAAACCAAAACGGGAGCCTTTAGATTTTCCCAGTACATTGTTTTGCTTAAATGAAACCTCTAGTGAGGCAAGATGCTGCCTTTGAGAACCTCTACTTCCTAAAATTCTGTTTTTTAAATGCAAATCCAAATCCCTCAGTACTTTCTAAGTCACTCACTCAAAAGTATGCTGATCATGAGCTGTGACTTCACTCTGCCTTCCTGAGATACATGTTTGTTTCAAAGTATCGAAGCCAGAGGCAGCTAGACCACTAGTATTTTCAGAAGGAGGTAAGCAATGGCTGTTTTCGTTTCATTTAGTTCAGGTTTCTTTCATTACTTTTGAAGTTGGCTTGTTCAGTAAAGCAATAATGCAGCAACATGTACTCTATTAGAAATACTTTGTTACTGATCTATCTTTTTGAAACTGGAACGGTAATGGGATTGCTGAACTTTGAACAACATTATTACATTTTACCCCCTTACTGAATAATCCTAGAAGTGACCGCTACACTTTTCTCAATAGCATATCTATGCATAACCTTGTGAGAACTAAGGGTAATAACTAATTAATCTTATTTTCAGACCTGATTGGGCTACAGCTAAACAGCTGCTGGGAGATTCCAATTTTCTCAAACGACTTATGGATTATGACAAAGAAAACATAAAGGCTCAAACTCTGCTAAAACTACAAAAATACATTTCTAATCCAAATTTCATACCCGAAAAGGTAGAAAGGGTATCCAAAGCATGTCGATCTATGTGTATGTGGGTGAGAGCCATGGATCTGTATTCCAGAGTGGTTAAAGAAGTAGAGCCAAAGAAACAAAAACTTGCTGCTGCTCAGGTAATGTCCTTTATTAATATTTTTATATATATTCCCTTCATAATGATAGAATAGAAGAGCACATAGGTTCTGCTGGTCCTGCTGTTAGATAATGCAAGATTAACTCATCTAAAGACTGAATGCAAAAAACTGTTACATATGGACAAATTATTGTGTTGGTGAAATAATGTGACCTGGTTGTATGGCATCCCGTGCCGACTACCTTTACTACATTGAAGAGCTTGAGCCTCTGCTAAACTCTTCAGCATTCAATATTTTGAATGTAGGATCCCTGTGTCCTCAGGCAAGTGCTGAGTACTGTAATGACATAGGGGTGGAAGGAAGGAACCGCAGTGCATAGCAGGGAACACAGGCGCCTGACACTACCAGAGATGCTAAATGCTAAAGTCTGGCTAGAGCTGAAGTGCTGGAATGGAGCAAATGAATGAGACATGAGTCATAGAAGACCATTAAAGGTACTTATTATGCTAAAACCCCGCACATCCATCCTGAGACCCCGCACAGCCCTCCTGAGACCCTGGAGATATCAGTCCGCCATCCTGGAGCAACACTTAGTATGTAGCTTCATATTATTTGGCATTGCTGTACAATGTATTGCTGGGATTTGATGTCCTCTATAAGTGGTGGTATTCTGCATTGCTGTATAATGTATTGCTGCATGGCGGGCCTCCATGGTGGATCAATGTCTTTAGATCCACTTCTGTGTTCTCTTCTTTTGGTGTGGCAGCACCCCTCCTGATCCACCATGGAAGTGAGGCTTAAAATCACTTCATTCAAGTCTTTCCTCCATGACAGATTAGAAGGGGCAGCGCAGGGAAAATAGAAGCGAGTCCAGAAGCGGCTCCTAAATTAGCAAAGCAGCAATGGAAAATTACGTGGTGGATCAGGAGAGGAAAACATTGGCAGGGGAACAATCAGTCCAGAGCATTGAACTATGGTTTGGTTTGTGGGGGGTGAGCTCTAATGAAAGACTTGCCCTCAGGCACCTCTTCTATGTGTCATTTGCTCAAGTATATCACCTTTATCTTAGGCACTATTTAAATCAAGATCTAATGTTTGCCTTTTCATATATGTTGGAAATGTCAACACTTTATATTGGTTGCAATTGATGGAGGTGCCCTCCGCACACCTTTCAGCAGTCCCAGCCAACAATCAAATAAATGGTGCTCGAAGTAACTTCACGGATGGCACCGTGCAAAACACATGATTGAAGAAAATAGGTCACCAGCACTCCATAAGTTAAAATGAATGAGTCCTTTTAATGGACAATGATGTCACAGAAATCCAACATGAGCCGTTCTGTGACATCATTGTCCATTAAAAGGACTCATTCATTTTAACTTATGGAGTGCTGGTGACCTATTTTCTTCAACACTTTATATTGGGTCTACTTACTTTCTCAAATGATAGTAACTTGTTTCTATGGGCAACTCATCCAACTATTCATCTATTTTTGGTGTAAATCAACCCTTATATTCCTTCTTAGTAACCACAAACTAGTTAGTCTCAGTTGCTCATATGGTTTCAATGCAGTAAAGCCCACCTAATTTGATATTACCACATTTAAAGCAATTGGTATTTCCACCAACTTAGACTTACATTATATTGGCATTGTGTATATCTGTCTTCAGGCTGAACTTGATGCTACAATGGCTACTCTTCAAGAGAAGCAAAAGAAATTGAAAGAAGTGGAAGAACAAATTAAAGAGCTGCAGGATCAATATGATACAAGCCTTGGGGAGAAAGAAGCCCTTGGTAAGCACCATTTTAAAGGATGAGACAATGAGTACTGCATCACTAGGTGGAGTGTTGTGCATGCACACTCTGCGCTCTGCTTCCTCATTCAGCATGAGGCAGCACCATCCTGACACTGCTCCTTATTGCAAGATACATATGGTTTCTGGATTAGTCCTTGCTGCTGACTACAGTGACCAGTCACTTCTGGCTAGTTCAACCTTCCCTTCTCCCTAAAGTGAATTACAAGGCTTTAAAGTAGAAACTCTACTGTACATGGGTAGATCAATTTCAACCAAACATTAGATATAAAGCATTTCCCATTATGCTAAATACTGTATACTGATAGCTGAATTAACCTGCAGGAGGAATGCATGGTGGAGACCTAAGTCAGTAGAAGGATTTTTGTGGTATTTTCAGAAACACAGGACCTATTAGAAGTAGGCAATTATCTTGCCCTGTCTTAACCTCCTCCACACCTGATAGATACCCCCATTTACTGCTCACAGAGCCTGCAGAACAGACCCTGGCACAGTTACCTCTGCTGTTCTATATCATACAGAGGATGTTGAGTTAGGAAATAACAGATCCAAGATTTTGTGCAGATACTGGAGAAGAAGCTGACGTTTTTGGTACCCTAAAAGCTGACAGAAAAATATTTCTTAAAGCTAAACTTGTAAAAAAATGTCTAAAATATTATACCTATACCTTAGGGCAGTGGTCCCCAACCCCCGGGCCGCGGACCGGTACCGGTACCGGTCCGTGGCCCGGGGGTTGGGGACCACTGCCTAAAGAGACGAGTCTTTAGCAATCGCCGAAAAGCAGTCAGAGTGGGAGAAAGTCCTGGAGGTGAGCATGGGAGGAGTTGACGAGAGAGCTAGAGAGCAGGAGGTCTTGGGAGGAGCGTGGGGGATGGTTAGGGTGATACTTTGAGACGAGTTTGGAGATGTACTCTGGGGCAGAGTTGTGGTTGTGGTTGTTAATACCAACGTATTTGCTTCAGCTATGTAATAGCTATCTGGGCTCTTGGAAACAAAGAAAACAGGATTCTGAGCTGTCAGGCTCCAGTCATATGCCTAGCACCATACCGAACACAGAAAAAAAAAAGTCTCCAGTTAGGGGGGATGTTATCAATACCTATATCCTGAAATTGGCAGTTATATTCACTGGAGATACAGTGAATCTGGAAGAAGATTGAAAAACACCTTTTCAATATATTTGATAGTGGAATGGTACTTTTTTATTGCTTCTGATGCACCTTTTATATATACTTTTTTGTTTAGCAAAAACTATGGCCCTTACACAAGCGCGGCTTAACCGGGCAGGTAAATTAACTGCGGCCCTGGGAGACGAACAGGTTCGGTGGAAAGAGAGTATTGAAAGTTTTGAAGAAGAGATCTCGAATGTTGTAGGAAATGTCTTCATTGCCGCTGCATGTGTTGCCTATTTTGGTGCATTTACTGCTGTTTATAGGCAGCTGGTGAGTATATGTTTTTCTTTATATTTTTGGCAGAGCTTGATGTAAAGATTAAGTGTTTCTTAACTCAATTTTTTTTTCTCATCTAAGTATGCAGGAGTGCTTTCATTTTTTGAATAATTCATGTATGTTTGTTATGCTTTTAAAGTAGTGTATACAAATTAATGCATGTATACATAGTACCTGAAACTTGACCCACAGGATCACATACAATACAGTAGAATCAATTTCTTGATCTATAGGAACCTACAAATATGTTAATAGAACTTATTTATATTCTGTTGCAGCTACCTAAATGTTAAGCAGGTTTGATTAAGTATTTGCAAAGGTCATTGTGCTGCAAATTGTATTCTCATGTGCCTCAAATGCCTGTTGTTAACAATTGCTTATAATTAAGTATATGTTGCGCAATATTTACATAAAAGATATATTGCAAGGATGTACCACTAGTATCACATAAAACAGTGTATCACTTTAATAGTTGTATAGAGGAACAGTATAACTATGCATATTTTGGTGTGCCCTTTAGCATTTACAGTTAGCATTAATGTCATCAGTAATATATACTATAGAATCAATTAATTAATATAGAAATCAACTATAATTAATAGTGTTGCATTTAGAGTGTTATTAGATATTGTTACACTCTTTTTTAGGCATATTTGGTTAATTAAATAATTTATATATAATATGTACTGTATATTGTAGATATTGGGCTAGTGGACACGTCTTTGCACTACTGACTTATTTAATAAATTGATTCAAAGAGCAATGGCAATGAACAACACTCAGCAATCAGTCACATATCCCTGTTAATCAGTCAAATCAAGAAGAGATATGATTTCCAGTTGGTTGCTATAAGTTACTGCACATTGCATGTTGACAAAGGAACACAGAGGGCGCAACAGCAAACACAAAAATAAAGCACTAGCTAGTTGGACTGCAATGTGTATAACGAACAAGGGATCAATGTGATGGTAAAGAGGCACTGGCGAAAAATCAATGTGATATCACTTACATGTGGATCCAGGGATCAGAAGATAGACGGCCTGTGCGGAGGATCGAGACCCTCGTGGTGTCTATCTGGATCTAATTTGTATGTTGACTGAGGAGGTTCATCCATCGGAAGGGAATGATGTGAACGAAGAGAGGTGACTCTGTCGGTGGTGCCGCTGAGAGGATGTGGGCTCCGGGCAGTGTGAAGGAGAACCAGGGGGGACAAACCAGTATCGAGTGCAGCCCGGGCTGCTGTGACCGCAGCTGTGGATGTAGGTGCTCGGTCTTGGCCAGGTCAGCTGTGGGCAGTGTGCGGGAGACGATACGCAACAGAAGCTGACAGGCGCCGGGTAGTCAGATCAGTGAGGAGGTGGGGGTACTTTGGGTGAATGGAGGTGCAGTGGGTAGAGAAGAGCAACGCGTTTTGAGGTATTCACCTTTTTCTCAAGTTCAAAAGGAATGATAAGGCACTGGCGGGAATCTGCCGATTTTAAAAAGTGACAGGTTGGCGGAGCTATTTCTCCCACGGTTTAACATTAAAAGCGGGGCTGCTGGATGCAGGCATGAAATTGGGAGCTTATTCTACACTGGGCCAGCATCCAGGAGCCCCGCTTTTAATGTGGTACCGAGCAGAATAGAAAAACAGTTTAAAAAATAAAATAGAAAACGATTGGGTGGAGCTAGCAGTGACAGCTAGCTCCGCCCAACTGTTTTCTATTGGCCAGGCGGTTCTGCTGCCGTCAAAATAAAAAAAATAATCACCATAGGAATGCATAGCTAGATTCCTATTGACTATTTCACTTTGCAATAGCCACTAGCAGACTTGCTGTCAATCACCAGAGGGGGACCTGATGGAGAACTGCAGGTCCCCCTCTGGTGATTGACAGCAGCAGTGGGCGGGTGCAATAGCTAGTTTGCTATTGCAAATTGAAATAGCCAATAGCAATCTAGCTATGCATTCCTATGGTGATTTTTTTTTTTATTCCGACGGCAGCCAACAATGTCAGAAGAAAAAGAAAAAAACAAAGAGGGAAAGGTTTACTCTGCTCGATCGAGCAGAGTGAACCTTTCTGGTAGGTAGTGTTTCGTATTAGGCTCCCAGAGTGTCTGGGAGAGTAATGCCAGATGGCATTCCTGGTTACCAGGTAACCAGGAACACCATCTGTCATTACACACTGAGAACACAGAGAGGCTGCTCTCAGTGTGTAATGACAGCATCCCTGGTTAGCTGGTAACCAGGGACGCTGATCTCTCTGAAAGTGGCTGGAGCCAGCCGTGAGATAATGTCAGAAGCAGCCCAGCTGTCAGAAGCAGGCTGTCAGCCGGCCAATGGCAGGCCATTCGGTCAGCTTCGGCTTTCACTGCGGCTCAGTCGAGCCGAGGCATATGCCTTGGCTCGACTGAGCCGCTTGGCCAACTTCGGGAGCTGTACGGGCTATAGTGAATAGCCCGTACAGCAGCCCTTTGGTTCTACTGAACCGAAGGGGTCCTGGGGTCGAAGCTAGCCAAAGGATCAGCTGAAGCTACGGCTAGATCCTTCGGCAGCTTAGAGAATAGACCCCTAAGAGTTGATACTTTCATATATGGGTACTTTTTCTGATCTATAGACTTCAGAGTTGCAATGAAGAGGAAAGTTACTGTCTTTTGTGCTCTCAGTTTGATAAGTGAAGCATGCAATGATCTAGATAAATCAGTCCTACTCTGATAGTCTCCCTAGGCTAGTTCTGTTGTTATGCTATGTGGCAGTATCTCTTGGGGCTGAGCTCACGAAGCGTTAAACATCACCATGGGATGCTAAGAAGGAAAAAAATATACCATGCCTGGAGTAAAAAAACTATGACTAATTACTTTCATGGAATACTTGAGATATCTTCCAAATCTGTCAAGTTTATGTACATATGGTAATTTATGTGTGATCATCCAGAAAGCACACAGATTCCCCACAAGTGATGCAAACTTAGCACACAGAAAGACAACATTGCAATATACCCTGCATTGACAATGATGAACTGCAATAAATAAAACACATATATTAGAATACCAGGTATCTCTTAAGGGCCATTTAAACAAAATGGGGAGCCTAAGGTGAATATGGAATGGGAGACTTAAGTTGTTTACTGCAAAGGTTGATTCCAGGCCTTGGTGTTAAATCTGTAGTCAATCTTCTGATTTATACACATTTTCTATACTGCACAACCAGAGAGGCAGCACACATAGTTCCTGATTAAATAACTCAGCTTTCTTGAGCAGTTCACTTTCCTATGTCACCTGTCAACCTCCATTCTTTTGTGAATCAACATCATCACCTCTTCTCAGTAAGCAGGTTGGCTGAACTAGGGGGCTGTCAGGGCCGCCGTCAGGGGGTACGGCCAGTACCACTGTAAGTGGCCGCGGCGGCATTGTAAGCTCCGAGCTATAATTTTTCCCTATAGAAGTATATCAATAGTACCATTTGCCTGGTCCTGGGTCCCCCCTGCACTGTTGGTAACTTCCTCAGAAGTGCTAACAGGGAGGCGGGGCTAACATTCCCTGTGCAGAAGCACCGGAGATCGTGGCAGAAGAGGAGCATGTCTGCTACCGCCTGTCTGGAGGGGAACGATAAGTGTTTCCCAGCAGACAGAGGCCCCGGGGATGGTGGGTGTTGTGATAGAGACTGGGGGGAGAGAAAGAGTGAGAGAGACAGATCGACCGACGCTGAGAGCTTCTTAGCATTGGCGGTCGGTCTCTCTCATGCTTCCCTCCCTCCTCTCAGCATGGTCGGTCTGTGTCTCACTCTTTCCCCCCTCCTCCTCCTCCCCTCAGAGAAGGGGGGGAGGGTGAGAGAGACCGATGGACACTGAGAGGAGGGGGGAGAGGGGGGGAGTGAGCAACGGACAAAATAGGAGGGGGGGGGGAGTGAGCAACGGACTGAAATGATGGAGCTACGTGCATGCCTACCTGACAGACCCGTCCCCCCTTCCTCAATCACATGTTTTATTCATGACCTAAACTTCAGAACAGCAGAAAACTGGTCGTCAGTTACAATATGCACGTTTTAATACAGAATGCACATTGAGGGCATTGGAGTATGAGAAGGAGCTGAATACAAAGTGACCCCAGTACCACATTAGAGAGGACACAACCTTCTATAGTGATAATAAAGTGCAGGTGCAAACACTGGGATCTTTGTAAAGCTGGCCATACACCTTACAACCATCGCACGACTTTCGTTGTGCGATGGTTGTAAGGTGATTAAAATTTCGTACGACCTGCACATCATGGACAGGCAGATCGTACTTGTGATCATCACAAGTCCTCCCCGCTGAGGGGAGGGCTTGCAGATGATTGCAATGGTGAGCGGGCAGTGTGCGCTTGCGTACCTCGGGTCGTCCGGCTTTCGTCTTGCAATCGCGCTACCAACCCGCCGAAAATCGGGTTTTTTAGCGTGCTCGTTTTTTAGCGTGCTTTTTTGCATGCGTGCAAGCATGCAAAAAAGAACTTGTCTCACCGCTAAGGTTAAAAACAGAGGTTTAGATACATGTCTTCTGCAGCCGCGCCGAGGCACCTCTATATAGTGCGGTCCTAACTCTAAACTATGAGAGTCTCCATCTTGGAGCACATGTGGCAAAAGATAAAATTGGGTGCAGGTTTGTCAGGAGGAAGCCCGACCTCCCTTAAAGGCACAGGGACGCACAATCACACCGGCAGCTGAGACCCCCCTATGCGTCACTGCACCAAATCAGTCAAGCAAAACAAATGGCAAACGCACTCATCAATTTGTTACCAGCTTTACAGCAAGGTGTGCATGGAAGGGCTTTAAACTGTAACAGTAAATGCGGTCCCACGCTGCCCATACACCTTATGATTATCGCGGGATCAACGGCGATTATCGTTCGAGCATGGGCAGCTTAGAAATATAAGGAGAAAGCACTGAGAAGAGGGGGAGGGGAAGAGGCCCAGAACCTGTGTGCTGAAATTTCTTTACATAATGCAGGGGTGTGGAATTCCTATCGCCCGACGCCTGGGACAGGCAGTCCTGGGCGCCGGGCGAGTAGTTTTTTTTCCTACATTGAGGGCCAGTTCACACCACAAAGGCTGCATTCCAGAGTGTTCAGCCTCTGGAACGCACTGGAATGCAAGCTGGCCGGCTCCATTCAGGGGTGGGAGGGGGCGTGGCGGTGCATTGAAATCAATGGCACCGCAGTCACGCCCACAGTGCGATCCGGTCCAGTGCGATCTGCAAAAATACTGCAAGCACTATTTTTGCAGATCGCACTAATGTGCCTGCGTTCTGGGTGCGGGCGATTGTACTGCGGGCAAGGGGCGTGGCTGCAGTGCCATTCAATGCACCGCCATGCCCCCTCCCACCCCTGAATTCAAGGAGCCAGCCAGCTTGAGTTCCAGAGGTTGAATGCCCTGGAACACAGCCTTTGTGTTGTGAATCGACCTTTAACCCTGCTTCGGGCAGGCAGCATGGATAAATGTAAAGTGGGAGCCATTTTGTACAGGTGATCTTGAGCGGCAGTACAGCCATCCAAAATCACTTGTAACCAGCCTGATTCTCCCTCTCCTCCCCTCTCTCTCTCCGGCAGCCGTGTCCCCAGCCGCTCACCTCTAATATCGCTCCCTTTCTCCCTGCCCGTTGGATCCTTTTCTGCCATGCTCTTTGGAGTCCCCTGCTCTTCTGGAGGACCCGGGATCACAGCAAACTAGATCAGGATGGAGAGCGGGGAGCAGAGTAGAGAACGTCCGTTTTCTGCTCTGCTCCGTGTGAGCAGTGACACACGAATGCTGTACTCACAGACCCCTGTCACAGGAGAACGAGCACAGTGCTGTGCTAGAACTCCTGTGTTGGAGGTTACAGGGTCAATAAAGAGAACCTGTCACCTTCCAAATGCTATCACACAGGGGCTTGTTAGCTCCTATGTAATATCAGTGAAGTCAAGTGAAAAAAAAAAGTCAAAAAATAAATAACAATTAAAAATGTAAATACATCAAAATGTAAAAAATTATAATAATTAAAAATGGGAATAAAAATGTAAAAAATAAATAGGCGATAAAGTAAAAAATAATAAAATAAATGAAAGTTACAAATTTTACAAAGTAAAAAAATAATAAAGTAAATAATTTTTTTTTAAACCAAACCCCTGCCCCCACCATCTGGCATGAGATGACGGCTGGCTTTGCTCTGGCCGGCCGTTCGGCCAACTTCGCATTTGCTCTGGGCTTAGTCGAGCCGAAGCATATGCCTTCGGCTCGACTGAGCCCCTCGGCCAACTTTGGGGGCTGTACGGGCTATAGTGAATAGCCCGTACAGCAGCCCTGAACCGAAAGTGGTCCTTGGGCCAAAGCTACCCGAAGGATCAGCCGAAGCTATGGCTAGATCCTTCAGTAGCTTTGTGAATAGACCCCTAAGAATTTACTAGCAGGTTCCAGGTTAGCGGTTATGAAATTAGTGAATATTGCCCTGGAATTTGCATCAGTTTGAGATGCTTCTGAGATCATTCAATGTTTCTTAAGAGCTGCATTTCACATGCAGTTTACTTCCTTCTGACAGGCATTTGACCCTCTTCTAGGTTGCATGAAGCTAATTCAAGCTGCTTTTGCATTTTCATAGACTTGTATAGAAAAATAAGCAGTTCTAGTGCCTATGTACACAGGCCCCAAAAAAAAGTCACCCTTGTGTACCCTGAAAAAGAGTGGAACATTTTTTTTTTTACACTAGGAATATCAGCATACTGTATTACTATATTTTACTATGTACTATATTTTACTTTGTTCTAGCTAATTGATCGCTGGATTAAAAAGTGTCAAGAGCTAGAGATTCCTATAAATCCAAATTTCAGCTTGATAAATATTCTGGGTGATGCCTATGAAATTCGCCAATGGAATACAGATGGATTACCGCGAGATCTTGTTTCCACTGAAAACGGTATATTGGTTACTCGTGGAAGACGTTGGCCCCTAATGATTGACCCACAAGATCAGGTACTACTATGCCAAATAATATATAAACAGAAGTCCACAACAGATGGAGAATTTTTTGACTTTATAGTCAGCAGTAGGAAACCCATCTGAAGTTATTAGATTTATGGTTTTTTTTTTGCATAAAATATTGTTATATAGTGTATCTTCAAACCATAAACAGAT